AGCGTACATATAAGTACATATGTTTATATAATATGTAAATAATCTTATCATTGAATCTGTAAGTTGTCAGATTACAAAGTACTCTTTTGTAAAAAAACTCCGGACTATAGGGGGTCTTAGGCAGTACTCTTTAATCCGACGAATTCGATAGTTCGACACTGCCCTGCAAAATGTTTGTCGGACTACCGGGGGTCCACTGTAATAATTAAATCTTCACATGCACATCTGTTAACATAATATTTTCTTACAGGAAATCAGACGCTATATTCGAAAAAAAAAAATACGAACAGCTCATTGATTGTCTGTCATATATAATTTTAGAAAATTATACAGTAAATGAGAGTATTATAGATAATTGTGACGTCATAACTAGAGAAATATAATTATATTATATATGTCGGAGAAGGTGCCAATACGTGGTTTTTAAAATGAGTGACGTCAGCATAACTGACGTCACCAGTGCGGTTTGTCCTCGAATGTCGTCAGCCCTTGAGGTTATCGAAGGTAACTTCACAGCCCGCACAGCCGGTTAGATGATGTCTCACTTCCAAGAGGTTCGATCCCCGCGACGGCTCCAGCACGACTATCTGTAATCAGTAATCTCGCCTCTATTTATAATGACTAACAGCCATTGTTATGACTTCACTTGCACAGGTTGTTACGCGAACGACACCTGATAATTTATCTACCCTCAATTATTGATTATTAAAATGGTAACTGCGCCGACATATAGGAGACGCGAATATTATAGACATGTTGAACAAAGCTAACGATATATATAAGCAGCTTACAAGTTCTATCGCAAACGAAAACAATATGAGAGATAAAACGAAAATATTAATTGCGGAATTATCACTGTTGACTAGTCTTCTATTCCTTAGGGCTTAGAATAATGGCAGAAATAAGTCCCATAGACCACGTTGAAAACCAAGACTCAAAGTGAAATACATAGAGGAATGTGAACTGACATAATTAACTATATCCATAAAAATAAGGACGTACGTTAAAAATGTTCCCTAGATACGTAAACACGATGATTTTAGATTTTCATGTAATTTAATAAATGTTGTTGTTTTTAAAAACAAAATTTAAGAATGAAAAACTTAACGGTTTGTTTCTGGCCGCATCCTATTGCATTTAAAGTTATGTTAAAGCAAAACTCAAATGTAACCAAATCTCTCTATTACTTCGTTTAAAATTCACTTCTGGCTTGCCACTTGTCACGCGTAATTCCTTACATAACAATTGAAAGTAAAAAAACTTTTTTTTACATTTTTTACGCTATTGAAATTAAATTTATAGATTTTTTAAAGCGCTATATGTACTTATAATAAAACATCAATTAAAAAAGTGTATGACCTAATAGAAATTATTGATCACAAATTGATTTCTTTACAGGATTGCAAGCACTTTACAAAGTCCGTCCTATCTGAAAAATCAGTGAAGACCCTGTATACCAACCTTTTGTCAACTTGCGGTTCAATGTATGATATTATACAAAGCGGTACCTACGAGAAAGCAAACCAAACCAATTACAAAACGCCCAAACAGTGTTAACGGAAACGACCTCGTGGTTGCATTCTGTTAATGCGTTTAGCAAAATAATTGTCGCTTATTCTGATGCTTTCCCAGACAGCGAAACCCTTACAAAGCTCACTGTCTCAAATAATGTAGTGTGACGTCATTAAAGGACCTGATTCTGATTATCTGAATTGATGTGACTTTCAAAGGAACTATTTTACCAAGCTTAATGGTGCTAGTGTCGCATATTAAAGACAAAGTCCATGGAATTAGTGAGTATCCAAAATGTGCTATATCGTTTCTTTGTAATTTTATTGCTATTTTTTCAACACAACTGTCCGAAATTTCAATTCAAATGGAAAACTTTAAATTAATATACAGGGTGACTGGTGAATTACTATCAATATTTAAGGAGCATACTCGGTACATGATTCTCATTCGAATTATGTAAAAAAATAGGTACTTAATTTTTGACCAAATTTACGTATAAATAAATAAAGTGTGTACACGTTCCAAGTGTTCCAAATGTGAACGCGTGCGGAGGCGTGCTGATACAACAACACGCCGCCGCGCGCGTATGTGTGTGTGTACCTAATACCTAATCTGTAGGGTGTTCATACGATGCGTAATTAATTACACAACTTTTGGTTAACTTTACTTAGAAGTTTATTAATATTTATGTTATATTAATTTTTATTTTGTCATATATGATCGTCAAATATCACGTCCTCAAGTATCGATAGTAATTCACCAGTCACCCTGTATAATCCTTCGATACGAGGTTAAAACATGGTTATAGTAAATTTTTGAATAATCTTATAATTTTTCGTATATATCAGGTCGAACAGGTTCAAAAGTTGACTTCTACCGGTCACCTTGGATTTCCGAAACAAGGCAATGTCTTCCTCTCCTAGAAAGAGTCAAAGAAGCGACAAATGAATTATTGGATCAATGGCCAGACTTTCCGACTTTGAAAGATGTATGTATAATTATGTAATACTAGTTTCCTTTCGTGACTCATACCGTGTTCTCTTCAGTATTGAGTTCAGAGCGAATTGCATAACGTTTTTCTCATATAATAGATATACTAAGGAGGTTTCAGCGACATCTATCGTCTATGTCACTAAACTTCTACACTATATACGTGTGTTATGTGTTGGTTAACTACTTCGAGTGATGTGATAATAATGTTATGTGAAGTCGAACTACATTTTTGTAAAGCTTCATAATCCGTTCAATACATTTAACGCGACAGACCAACACATATTCATACATTCCCATTGACTCCCGTTTATATCGTTGGTATTAGAATCTCCAATATCGAAATGATATATGATTTATTAGTATATCTTTTATCTTTCTAGATTATAATAATAGTAGACAGAATAATCGGCTTTCCGATTACCAGTCTAGTGTCGAGATTCCTGACAGGTTTGGAACTCTTTAGAGATAAAATTGAAGAATGGAACAAAAACGCCCACAAAGGAAACAATATGATTGATATATCACTGGCTGGATATATATGTAGGACAACAGATCATTAACTGGAGGAAACTGGAAATGACTCATTGGAAGGAGGGTCTTAACAACTTGTATCAAAGGTGAAAATTATGTTATTTCTTGACTTAGACGTCACAAAATTTGAATGGCTTTTAGCATATTATGAAGTAAGAACTACTTATCTCATTACAAAATAATCTTAGTATATAATATTATTCCAGTATTAATCTTTCTCTATAATAATGTTTTTTCTTACTACAACTTGGTCTACTTACGAATAAGATAGTCATAAAACTATTCTATTGAACAATAACTTTTAGTAGGTATTAAAAGTTTAACTGTTTTGGATAATACTTAATTAACATTTCAGACAACAGGCCGAAGCTCATAAATACTGGTTCTATATGTATGCGGTGATAACATCTTACTTGGAGGAGACAGATATGTCATCGGCGCGGGTCGTGTCCGTGTTGAAAGATTTCATGGAAAAGTCCAATCTAGCGGAGTTCGATGTACGATTGGACATTGTTTATGAGTATCACTGCCACTTAATACATCTGGACGCCGGTCAAAGACGCGGTGAGATTCATTGGTTAAGTAATATGTATATGTTACAAAGAGCTTTAGAAATAATAATTATAGTGAATAGTTTATAGTAAGTTATTTATTTATTAGATTTCAACAAAAATAACTACACTTGATATCTTTTTCGTAGATAGATAATTTATTCTCTTTTTAAATTTTTTGGACGACATATATTTATAGGTGGTAGGGCCTAGCTGTAGTTTAGTTACTACAACTCAAATATGGGCTGGCTCGACCGGGGAAGTACCACCCTCTCAGAGAAGATCGGCGTGAAGTAGTCAATAATGACTGCGTTTCGTCCGATGAGTGAGAAAGCCGGTTGCCCTTTCCCTGTTCCCAACCTTTCCTTATATTTCCTTATTCCCACCCGTCCCTTTTCCTCCACAAGTATGGTTGGCAACGCATCCGCAACGTCTATGTTGTGGATGTCCATGGGCCACGGTCACTACTGACCATCAAGTGGGCCGTCTGCTCGTTTGCCACCTTTTACATAAAAAAAAAACATACGTACTTTTATCACCCTAATTTCCTAAAAGTTTAGTCAGGTTCAGTTTATTAATCTATATCTTATACTGCAACTACTGTGGGTCTTCTGCAATATCCAATAATTTACTTCTATCTATATATGTTCTGTTTTAGTTGCACTCCTATCATTGTTGTGGAATACATGCAATTACTATCGTCAATTCGCTCCACAAGTGGCTTCACATATTAAAGAAAAGCGTGCGCCCATAGAAAAGAAGTTTAAGGACACGGTCAAAATCTGCACCTGGGACAGAGACCTCAGCTACTGGAGTGTGAAGCACGCAGTAGACAAGGCTCATAAAGCTTTACACAAACACACCAAGGAGTTTGAGGTTAGCCTTATTGATATACATATTTATTGTAGTGAAGAGTCTAATGCTACTTCCAACAAGGTTGCCTTAAACGTTCAACGCTCCTGGGGAGCGGGAATAGAAAGAGACGGAGCGATAGTAAATGAATGGATCAATTGTGAATTGTGAGCAATATTTATTAAGTTTGTCTTAAAGAAACAATATGAGTTCACTATAAATTGATATTTATACAAGTTTTTATTTTTCACTTCTTCCGTACGGAGGGACTCCATGTTTTTTATTTATAAATTCCTTCGATAATTTCTAGGTCAATGTTTGTAATATAAACCATTATTGTGTACTTTATCATCTTATATTATCTTATGTAATTGATGTGTTTGTGAAGTGTGAGTAAATATCCTACTTTGAAAATTGTCTACAGAAAGTTCTAAAGGACAGTGTATCGAGTTGTCTCGTGGACGCGGCGAGTGAGTCTATCGACCACGTGGGTATTTGGGATAGACCAAAGAGGGCTGGCACTGCAAGCAACGCCGCGGGCGGAGCGTATATGATAGATCTTCAGAACCATGTAGTACTGAACAGAACATTAAGGTATATAAACACGTCATTTTTATTACACTTAAAATATAATAATGATAAAAGAATTGGGTGGTTATGAATGATTTCGCCTGTCTTCTGTTTTATTTGCTGTAAAGGTAGCTAGCAACAATTGCATTCTTTCTGTCTTTAAAAAAAAACATTAGTTACAGTTATAAATATGCAACATACGCATTACGCAATAATGTTTTAATAATTGAATTCCCTTTTACAGGAATACGAATACCAGCTCGAACAGCCTTGTCAATTAATACAAGTGAATAGCCTCCTGGCAAAGATTCCGAGTCTGCTGAACAAAGCTCGAACATTTTGTAAGGACAGCATCGCTAACACGGGCTACCCCGCGCTACTATATGCTTGGACGACCTTGTAGCCTTGGTTATAGAGACAAGTGAACATTTAGGATCTTTGGAGGTAATTCTTTTTTTAAATTCTATGTATAACGAATATTTATTTTATACACGTAAAATTGTTTCAATTTCTATATTGGTTCTTATATAAATGTGAATTGTCATTTCTATTTCATTTAGATAATTTCTAAAAATTAGACTTATATCCGAAAAAAATGTCTTCTGTTACTGCTAAGATTGTAACAAATACAAAACATTTTAATAATAATACTCTATATTGTAGGTGGATTCAACATTGCCGAAGGACAAACAAAAATCTCAAGCCAAAAACATAACGCAGCAGAAGCGTAAAGCTCTATCGGATCTGTTCAAATATTTGAACAAAATCGGCTTGAATTATCGCACGGGTCTCGTTATACATGTATGATTTCACAATACTACCCGTCGATTGGGATGCCGCTATGAGCTATTTGAAAAGCAGGTATTTACAACTATATAACAAAAGCATTCGACGTTGTCCATGTTTTTGTGTGATCACAAATATTTTGTTTTGTGATCACCAATATTTTGTTATTTGTAAAGTATATATTTCTATTTCTTTTTGCTATAAGTGTATTGTTAAAAGTGTAACGGTTATATGATATAATAGAAATAGAAATTAAATCCGCATTATATTGATATTCCATGACATTATAAATAGTGTTAAATAATAATTTGTGCTAAAATTTTAAGTATATACATTTTATTTCCAGAAATATGCTAAAACTCAGAAGAAGTCGATTTCGCGTTATACGAAACATATTTTCGATTTACGAACCGTAGCTACAAGTCTTACAAACGCGTTAGAAATAGACTCTACAGGATGTAATATAACTTCGCTTGAAGAAATACTCAATGTGTTAGTGGAATGCTACGCTCATACGAGCATTCTTCTAGAACAATTCAATGTCGTTCTGAAGTCTGTTCCGGAAAAACATTTGAATACTGATTCTGAGCCAGATTTCGACAAAGTGCTATCAAACTCACCTTTGGCTGATTGTTTCAAGGATAGCGATGAATGGAAGTCTCTTAATAAAAAAATTAAGTCAATTATATCTCTAGTTGATAAACAAAAGGCACTGTTAAACAAATTATCTCGAAACCTAAAACAAATCGAAGAATCCATTAAGTTACCTCTAGTTTCTCAAAGTCATATAGAAGTTAAGAATAATTTGGACGTTATAATAGAAAAAAGTGAGGAAATTATTACCGAATATGAGTTTGTTTTCAAAACGACGGTCATAGAAGACTTCCACCGCATCATCCAATACTAAGAAGCCTTGAAAATATGGTGGCTTACATTAAAGATATAAAAACAGAACTTGATAAATTGGATGAACCGATAGACCAAGAAATGGATGAAACTGACGGCACAATGTTAGAGCAGACTGAAGATGTTGTGGCTACGATGTTACTCGTGATACAATCGTTGTACAAAAAACATCTGCCGCCAGAGAAACAAGCGGAGAATATGGACGTTATAAACGCTATTGATGAAATTATACATGAAGGTGTAAAAGTTGAAACCAAAGAAATTTTAGAAGATAATCATTTAAAAGAATTACTCCAAGAGAACATGTCCACTGATTCAAGAAATTGCGCGAACTTTTGATTAACTATGTGCAATATATTGCGACTCGGTCTGATGTGGAAGAAGCTAGAACTGTTGTTATGAGATTGGTCCCGATATTGGAGCAAGTTATACTATTTGTCCAATATTTTGTATCCCAAAAAGTTGCTGTGCATAGAGTATCCTGTAAAATGCTGTTAGTGCTTTTGAAGATTTTATTGGATCTGGCATCGAAAGGGTAATTATATCGATATAATTTAGATTAAATATACCACAATGTTAAAATGAATAAGTTGGGATTGCATTTAAATATAAAACTTTATAAATATCTAAAGTACAGAAAATTAATAAAATATTATAAAAACTTTCATTTATTGCCACAAATTAGATAATTTCAATAAGTTGTTCCACTGAAGCTTTTTAATTCAGATTGTACTTACGATTATCCTTGAATAAGTTATTGTTTAAGAATGTTTTAGACAAGTAATAAATTGAAACTTCCTTTATTTCCTTACAGTTTCTGCCAACACTCAGAACTAGATTCAGAGGAGGGTGAGGGAGAAGGCACTACTGGAGACAGCGGTATGGGACTTGGTGAGGGAGAGGGACAGAAAGATGTCTCTGAACGCGAAGAAAACCAGGTGTGGGAAAGGGATAGATAGAATTATGTTCCCGAAACGAAAGATCATTGACTTTAGCGCTGTAGACAAAATTTATTACACACAAAAAAAATATTGTTTTTGTTTTCAAAGGATCAATTGGACGACGCGCATGAACCGGGTGAAGAAAAGAACGAACAAGATAAAGATTGCAAGGAAGAAGAGAAGGAGTCAATATGACTGACGACTTTGATTCACAAGACGTCGAACAGAAAGGTTAATAATATAGTCATATAAAATTAAGTTTTAAACATATAAAATAGGGTTGTAAATTAAATAAATGTCCTTTTAAATTCCAGAACAATCAGATGAAGAAAATGATGATGACGATGCCGATAAACAAATGGGAGATACAGATAATGCTGCCGAAAAGTAACTGAATATCATCATTATTTTTGCCACACATTACAATAATTATTGTAAAATGTGATCTTTAATGTCGAATATTTTTTAATATGTTTTTAGTCACATGTAAAATTGAAAGCAGAACCAATTTATTTGAAATTGACTAATATTGTTAAATTGTCATAATTGTTATATGTTTCATACTTATATAGTAACTCAAAATCTCCAGGCCATATCGGACAACCAGATCCTGATAGTGATTCTTTGTAGCTGTTATTATATGTTTCATACTTATATAGTAACTCAAAATCTCCAGGCCATATCGGACAACCAGATCCTGATAGTGATTCTTTGTAGCTGTTATTATATGTTTCATACTTATATAGTAACTCAAAATCTCCAGGCCATATCGGACAACCAGATCCTGATAGTGATTCTTTGTAGCTGTTATTATATGTTTCATACTTATATAGTAACTCAAAATCTCCAGGCCATATCGGACAACCAGATCCTGATAGTGATTCTTTGTAGCTGTTATTATATGTTTCATACTTATATAGTAACTCAAAATCTCCAGGCCATATCGGACAACCAGATCCTGATAGTGATTCTTTGTAGCTGTTATTATATGTTTCATACTTATATAGTAACTCAAAATCTCCAGGCCATATCGGACAACCAGATCCTGATAGTGATTCTTTGTAGCTGTTATTATATGTTTCATACTTATATAGTAACTCAAAATCTCCAGGCCATATCGGACAACCAGATCCTGATAGTGATTCTTTGTAGCTGTTATTATATGTTTCATACTTATATAGTAACTCAAAATCTCCAGGCCATATCGGACAACCAGATCCTGATAGTGATTCTTTGTAGCTGTTATTATATGTTTCATACTTATATAGTAACTCAAAATCTCCAGGCCATATCGGACAACCAGATCCTGATAGTGATTCTTTGTAGCTGTTATTATATGTTTCATACTTATATAGTAACTCAAAATCTCCAGGCCATATCGGACAACCAGATCCTGATAGTGATTCTTTGTAGCTGTTATTATATGTTTCATACTTATATAGTAACTCAAAATCTCCAGGCCATATCGGACAACCAGATCCTGATAGTGATTCTTTGTAGCTGTTATTATATGTTTCATACTTATATAGTAACTCAAAATCTCCAGGCCATATCGGACAACCAGATCCTGATAGTGATTCTTTGTAGCTGTCATTATATGTTTCATACTTATATAGTAACTCAAAATCTCCAGGCCATATCGGACAACCAGATCCTGATAGTGATTCTTTGTAGCTGTCATTATATGTTTCATACTTATATAGTAACTCAAAATCTCCAGGCCATATCGGACAACCAGATCCTGATAGTGATTCTTTGTAGCTGTCATTATATGTTTCATACTTATATAGTAACTCAAAATCTCCAGGCCATATCGGACAACCAGATCCTGATAGTGATTCTTTGTAGCTGTTATTATATGTTTCATACTTATATAGTAACTCAAAATCTCCAGGCCATATCGGACAACCAGATCCTGATAGTGATTCTTTGTAGCTGTTATTATATGTTTCATACTTATATAGTAACTCAAAATCTCCAGGCCATATCGGACAACCAGATCCTGATAGTGATTCTTTGTAGCTGTTATTATATGTTTCATACTTATATAGTAACTCAAAATCTCCAGGCCATATCGGACAACCAGATCCTGATAGTGATTCTTTGTAGCTGTTATTATATGTTTCATACTTATATAGTAACTCAAAATCTCCAGGCCATATCGGACAACCAGATCCTGATAGTGATTCTTTGTAGCTGTTATTATATGTTTCATACTTATATAGTAACTCAAAATCTCCAGGCCATATCGGACAACCAGATCCTGATAGTGATTCTTTGTAGCTGTTATTATATGTTTCATACTTATATAGTAACTCAAAATCTCCAGGCCATATCGGACAACCAGATCCTGATAGTGATTCTTTGTAGCTGTTATTATATGTTTCATACTTATATAGTAACTCAAAATCTCCAGGCCATATCGGACAACCAGATCCTGATAGTGATTCTTTGTAGCTGTTATTATATGTTTCATACTTATATAGTAACTCAAAATCTCCAGGCCATATCGGACAACCAGATCCTGATAGTGATTCTTTGTAGCTGTTATTATATGTTTCATACTTATATAGTAACTCAAAATCTCCAGGCCATATCGGACAACCAGATCCTGATAGTGATTCTTTGTAGCTGTTATTATATGTTTCATACTTATATAGTAACTCAAAATCTCCAGGCCATATCGGACAACCAGATCCTGATAGTGATTCTTTGTAGCTGTTATTATATGTTTCATACTTATATAGTAACTCAAAATCTCCAGGCCATATCGGACAACCAGATCCTGATAGTGATTCTTTGTAGCTGTCATTATATGTTTCATACTTATATAGTAACTCAAAATCTCCAGGCCATATCGGACAACCAGATCCTGATAGTGATTCTTTGTAGCTGTCATTATATGTTTCATACTTATATAGTAACTCAAAATCTCCAGGCCATATCGGACAACCAGATCCTGATAGTGATTCTTTGTAGCTGTCATTATATGTTTCATACTTATATAGTAACTCAAAATCTCCAGGCCATATCGGACAACCAGATCCTGATAGTGATTCTTTGTAGCTGTTATTATATGTTTCATACTTATATAGTAACTCAAAATCTCCAGGCCATATCGGACAACCAGATCCTGATAGTGATTCTTTGTAGCTGTTATTATATGTTTCATACTTATATAGTAACTCAAAATCTCCAGGCCATATCGGACAACCAGATCCTGATAGTGATTCTTTGTAGCTGTTATTATATGTTTCATACTTATATAGTAACTCAAAATCTCCAGGCCATATCGGACAACCAGATCCTGATAGTGATTCTTTGTAGCTGTTATTATATGTTTCATACTTATATAGTAACTCAAAATCTCCAGGCCATATCGGACAACCAGATCCTGATAGTGATTCTTTGTAGCTGTTATTATATGTTTCATACTTATATAGTAACTCAAAATCTCCAGGCCATATCGGACAACCAGATCCTGATAGTGATTCTTTGTAGCTGTTATTATATGTTTCATACTTATATAGTAACTCAAAATCTCCAGGCCATATCGGACAACCAGATCCTGATAGTGATTCTTTGTAGCTGTTATTATATGTTTCATACTTATATAGTAACTCAAAATCTCCAGGCCATATCGGACAACCAGATCCTGATAGTGATTCTTTGTAGCTGTTATTATATGTTTCATACTTATATAGTAACTCAAAATCTCCAGGCCATATCGGACAACCAGATCCTGATAGTGATTCTTTGTAGCTGTTATTATATGTTTCATACTTATATAGTAACTCAAAATCTCCAGGCCATATCGGACAACCAGATCCTGATAGTGATTCTTTGTAGCTGTTATTATATGTTTCATACTTATATAGTAACTCAAAATCTCCAGGCCATATCGGACAACCAGATCCTGATAGTGATTCTTTGTAGCTGTCATTATATGTTTCATACTTATATAGTAACTCAAAATCTCCAGGCCATATCGGACAACCAGATCCTGATAGTGATTCTTTGTAGCTGTCATTATATGTTTCATACTTATATAGTAACTCAAAATCTCCAGGCCATATCGGACAACCAGATCCTGATAGTGATTCTTTGTAGCTGTCATTATATGTTTCATACTTATATAGTAACTCAAAATCTCCAGGCCATATCGGACAACCAGATCCTGATAGTGATTCTTTGTAGCTGTTATTATATGTTTCATACTTATATAGTAACTCAAAATCTCCAGGCCATATCGGACAACCAGATCCTGATAGTGATTCTTTGTAGCTGTTATTATATGTTTCATACTTATATAGTAACTCAAAATCTCCAGGCCATATCGGACAACCAGATCCTGATAGTGATTCTTTGTAGCTGTTATTATATGTTTCATACTTATATAGTAACTCAAAATCTCCAGGCCATATCGGACAACCAGATCCTGATAGTGATTCTTTGTAGCTGTTATTATATGTTTCATACTTATATAGTAACTCAAAATCTCCAGGCCATATCGGACAACCAGATCCTGATAGTGATTCTTTGTAGCTGTTATTATATGTTTCATACTTATATAGTAACTCAAAATCTCCAGGCCATATCGGACAACCAGATCCTGATAGTGATTCTTTGTAGCTGTTATTATATGTTTCATACTTATATAGTAACTCAAAATCTCCAGGCCATATCGGACAACCAGATCCTGATAGTGATTCTTTGTAGCTGTTATTATATGTTTCATACTTATATAGTAACTCAAAATCTCCAGGCCATATCGGACAACCAGATCCTGATAGTGATTCTTTGTAGCTGTTATTATATGTTTCATACTTATATAGTAACTCAAAATCTCCAGGCCATATCGGACAACCAGATCCTGATAGTGATTCTTTGTAGCTGTTATTATATGTTTCATACTTATATAGTAACTCAAAATCTCCAGGCCATATCGGACAACCAGATCCTGATAGTGATTCTTTGTAGCTGTTATTATATGTTTCATACTTATATAGTAACTCAAAATCTCCAGGCCATATCGGACAACCAGATCCTGATAGTGATTCTTTGTAGCTGTTATTATATGTTTCATACTTATATAGTAACTCAAAATCTCCAGGCCATATCGGACAACCAGATCCTGATAGTGATTCTTTGTAGCTGTCATTATATGTTTCATACTTATATAGTAACTCAAAATCTCCAGGCCATATCGGACAACCAGATCCTGATAGTGATTCTTTGTAGCTGTCATTATATGTTTCATACTTATATAGTAACTCAAAATCTCCAGGCCATATCGGACAACCAGATCCTGATAGTGATTCTTTGTAGCTGTCATTATATGTTTCATACTTATATAGTAACTCAAAATCTCCAGGCCATATCGGACAACCAGATCCTGATAGTGATTCTTTGTAGCTGTTATTATATGTTTCATACTTATATAGTAACTCAAAATCTCCAGGCCATATCGGACAACCAGATCCTGATAGTGATTCTTTGTAGCTGTTATTATATGTTTCATACTTATATAGTAACTCAAAATCTCCAGGCCATATCGGACAACCAGATCCTGATAGTGATTCTTTGTAGCTGTTATTATATGTTTCATACTTATATAGTAACTCAAAATCTCCAGGCCATATCGGACAACCAGATCCTGATAGTGATTCTTTGTAGCTGTTATTATATGTTTCATACTTATATAGTAACTCAAAATCTCCAGGCCATATCGGACAACCAGATCCTGATAGTGATTCTTTGTAGCTGTTATTATATGTTTCATACTTATATAGTAACTCAAAATCTCCAGGCCATATCGGACAACCAGATCCTGATAGTGATTCTTTGTAGCTGTTATTATATGTTTCATACTTATATAGTAACTCAAAATCTCCAGGCCATATCGGACAACCAGATCCTGATAGTGATTCTTTGTAGCTGTTATTATATGTTTCATACTTATATAGTAACTCAAAATCTCCAGGCCATATCGGACAACCAGATCCTGATAGTGATTCTTTGTAGCTGTCATTATATGTTTCATACTTATATAGTAACTCAAAATCTCCAGGCCATATCGGACAACCAGATCCTGATAGTGATTCTTTGTAGCTGTCATTATATGTTTCATACTTATATAGTAACTCAAAATCTCCAGGCCATATCGGACAACCAGATCCTGATAGTGATTCTTTGTAGCTGTCATTATATGTTTCATACTTATATAGTAACTCAAAATCTCCAGGCCATATCGGACAACCAGATCCTGATAGTGATTCTTTGTAGCTGTCATTATATGTTTCATACTTATATAGTAACTCAAAATCTCCAGGCCATATCGGACAACCAGATCCTGATAGTGATTCTTTGTAGCTGTTATTATATGTTTCATACTTATATAGTAACTCAAAATCTCCAGGCCATATCGGACAACCAGATCCTGATAGTGATTCTTTGTAGCTGTTATTATATGTTTCATACTTATATAGTAACTCAAAATCTCCAGGCCATATCGGACAACCAGATCCTGATAGTGATTCTTTGTAGCTGTTATTATATGTTTCATATACTTATATAGTAACTCAAAATCTCCAGGCCATATCGGACAACCAGATCCTGATAGTGATTCTTTGTAGCTGTTATTATATGTTTCATACTTATATAGTAACTCAAAATCTCCAGGCCATATCGGACAACCAGATCCTGATAGTGATTCTTTGTAGCTGTTATTATATGTTTCATACTTATATAGTAACTCAAAATCTCCAGGCCATATCGGACAACCAGATCCTGATAGTGATTCTTTGTAGCTGTTATTATATGTTTCATACTTATATAGTAACTCAAAATCTCCAGGCCATATCGGACAACCAGATCCTGATAGTGATTCTTTGTAGCTGTTATTATATGTTTCATACTTATATAGTAACTCAAAATCTCCAGGCCATATCGGACAACCAGATCCTGATAGTGATTCTTTGTAGCTGTTATTATATGTTTCATACTTATATAGTAACTCAAAATCTCCAGGCCATATCGGACAACCAGATCCTGATAGTGATTCTTTGTAGCTGTTATTATATGTTTCATACTTATATAGTAACTCAAAATCTCCAGGCCATATCGGACAACCAGATCCTGATAGTGATTCTTTGTAGCTGTTATTATATGTTTCATACTTATATAGTAACTCAAAATCTCCAGGCCATATCGGACAACCAGATCCTGATAGTGATTCTTTGTAGCTGTTATTATATGTTTCATACTTATATAGTAACTCAAAATCTCCAGGCCATATCGGACAACCAGATCCTGATAGTGATTCTTTGTAGCTGTTATTATATGTTTCATACTTATATAGTAACTCAAAATCTCCAGGCCATATCGGACAACCAGATCCTGATAGTGATTCTTTGTAGCTGTTATTATATGTTTCATACTTATATAGTAACTCAAAATCTCCAGGCCATATCGGACAACCAGATCCTGATAGTGATTCTTTGTAGCTGTCATTATATGTTTCATACTTATATAGTAACTCAAAATCTCCAGGCCATATCGGACAACCAGATCCTGATAGTGATTCTTTGTAGCTGTCATTATATGTTTCATACTTATATAGTAACTCAAAATCTCCAGGCCATATCGGACAACCAGATCCTGATAGTGATTCTTTGTAGCTGTTATTATATGTTTCATACTTATATAGTAACTCAAAATCTCCAGGCCATATCGGACAACCAGATCCTGATAGTGATTCTTTGTAGCTGTTATTATATGTTTCATACTTATATAGTAACTCAAAATCTCCAGGCCATATCGGACAACCAGATCCTGATAGTGATTCTTTGTAGCTGTTATTATATGTTTCATACTTATATAGTAACTCAAAATCTCCAGGCCATATCGGACAACCAGATCCTGATAGTGATTCTTTGTAGCTGTTATTATATGTTTCATACTTATATAGTAACTCAAAATCTCCAGGCCATATCGGACAACCAGATCCTGATAGTGATTCTTTGTAGCTGTTATTATATGTTTCATACTTATATAGTAACTCAAAATCTCCAGGCCATATCGGACAACCAGATCCTGATAGTGATTCTTTGTAGCTGTTATTATATGTTTCATACTTATATAGTAACTCAAAATCTCCAGGCCATATCGGACAACCAGATCCTGATAGTGATTCTTTGTAGCTGTTATTATATGTTTCATACTTATATAGTAACTCAAAATCTCCAGGCCATATCGGACAACCAGATCCTGATAGTGATTCTTTGTAGCTGTTATTATATGTTTCATACTTATATAGTAACTCAAAATCTCCAGGCCATATCGGACAACCAGATCCTGATAGTGATTCTTTGTAGCTGTCATTATATGTTTCATACTTATATAGTAACTCAAAATCTCCAGGCCATATCGGACAACCAGATCCTGATAGTGATTCTTTGTAGCTGTCATTATATGTTTCATACTTATATAGTAACTCAAAATCTCCAGGCCATATCGGACAACCAGATCCTGATAGTGATTCTTTGTAGCTGTCATTATATGTTTCATACTTATATAGTAACTCAAAATCTCCAGGCCATATCGGACAACCAGATCCTGATAGTGATTCTTTGTAGCTGTCATTATATGTTTCATACTTATATAGTAACTCAAAATCTCCAGGCCATATCGGACAACCAGATCCTGATAGTGATTCTTTGTAGCTGTCATTATATGTTTCATACTTATATAGTAACTCAAAATCTCCAGGCCATATCGGACAACCAGATCCTGATAGTGATTCTTTGTAGCTGTCATTATATGTTTCATACTTATATAGTAACTCAAAATCTCCAGGCCATATCGGACAACCAGATCCTGATAGTGATTCTTTGTAGCTGTTATTATATGTTTCATACTTATATAGTAACTCAAAATCTCCAGGCCATATCGGACAACCAGATCCTGATAGTGATTCTTTGTAGCTGTTATTATATGTTTCATACTTATATAGTAACTCAAAATCTCCAGGCCATATCGGACAACCAGATCCTGATAGTGATTCTTTGTAGCTGTTATTATATGTTTCATACTTATATAGTAACTCAAAATCTCCAGGCCATATCGGACAACCAGATCCTGATAGTGATTCTTTGTAGCTGTTATTATATGTTTCATACTTATATAGTAACTCAAAATCTCCAGGCCATATCGGACAACCAGATCCTGATAGTGATTCTTTGTAGCTGTTATTATATGTTTCATACTTATATAGTAACTCAAAATCTCCAGGCCATATCGGACAACCAGATCCTGATAGTGATTCTTTGTAGCTGTTATTATATGTTTCATACTTATATAGTAACTCAAAATCTCCAGGCCATATCGGACAACCAGATCCTGATAGTGATTCTTTGTAGCTGTTATTATATGTTTCATACTTATATAGTAACTCAAAATCTCCAGGCCATATCGGACAACCAGATCCTGATAGTGATTCTTTGTAGCTGTTATTATATGTTTCATACTTATATAGTAACTCAAAATCTCCAGGCCATATCGGACAACCAGATCCTGATAGTGATTCTTTGTAGCTGTTATTATATGTTTCATACTTATATAGTAACTCAAAATCTCCAGGCCATATCGGACAACCAGATCCTGATAGTGATTCTTTGTAGCTGTTATTATATGTTTCATACTTATATAGTAACTCAAAATCTCCAGGCCATATCGGACAACCAGATCCTGATAGTGATTCTTTGTAGCTGTTATTATATGTTTCATACTTATATAGTAACTCAAAATCTCCAGGCCATATCGGACAACCAGATCCTGATAGTGATTCTTTGTAGCTGTTATTATATGTTTCATACTTATATAGTAACTCAAAATCTCCAGGCCATATCGGACAACCAGATCCTGATAGTGATTCTTTGTAGCTGTTATTATATGTTTCATACTTATATAGTAACTCAAAATCTCCAGGCCATATCGGACAACCAGATCCTGATAGTGATTCTTTGTAGCTGTTATTATATGTTTCATACTTATATAGTAACTCAAAATCTCCAGGCCATATCGGACAACCAGATCCTGATAGTGATTCTTTGTAGCTGTCATTATATGTTTCATACTTATATAGTAACTCAAAATCTCCAGGCCATATCGGACAACCAGATCCTGATAGTGATTCTTTGTAGCTGTCATTATATGTTTCATACTTATATAGTAACTCAAAATCTCCAGGCCATATCGGACAACCAGATCCTGATAGTGATTCTTTGTAGCTGTTATTATATGTTTCATACTTATATAGTAACTCAAAATCTCCAGGCCATATCGGACAACCAGATCCTGATAGTGATTCTTTGTAGCTGTTATTATATGTTTCATACTTATATAGTAACTCAAAATCTCCAGGCCATATCGGACAACCAGATCCTGATAGTGATTCTTTGTAGCTGTTATTATATGTTTCATACTTATATAGTAACTCAAAATCTCCAGGCCATATCGGACAACCAGATCCTGATAGTGATTCTTTGTAGCTGTTATTATATGTTTCATACTTATATAGTAACTCAAAATCTCCAGGCCATATCGGACAACCAGATCCTGATAGTGATTCTTTGTAGCTGTTATTATATGTTTCATACTTATATAGTAACTCAAAATCTCCAGGCCATATCGGACAACCAGATCCTGATAGTGATTCTTTGTAGCTGTTATTATATGTTTCATACTTATATAGTAACTCAAAATCTCCAGGCCATATCGGACAACCAGATCCTGATAGTGATTCTTTGTAGCTGTTATTATATGTTTCATACTTATATAGTAACTCAAAATCTCCAGGCCATATCGGACAACCAGATCCTGATAGTGATTCTTTGTAGCTGTTATTATATGTTTCATACTTATATAGTAACTCAAAATCTCCAGGCCATATCGGACAACCAGATCCTGATAGTGATTCTTTGTAGCTGTTATTATATGTTTCATACTTATATAGTAACTCAAAATCTCCAGGCCATATCGGACAACCAGATCCTGATAGTGATTCTTTGTAGCTGTTATTATATGTTTCATACTTATATAGTAACTCAAAATCTCCAGGCCATATCGGACAACCAGATCCTGATAGTGATTCTTTGTAGCTGTTATTATATGTTTCATACTTATATAGTAACTCAAAATCTCCAGGCCATATCGGACAACCAGATCCTGATAGTGATTCTTTGTAGCTGTTATTATATGTTTCATACTTATATAGTAACTCAAAATCTCCAGGCCATATCGGACAACCAGATCCTGATAGTGATTCTTTGTAGCTGTTATTATATGTTTCATACTTATATAGTAACTCAAAATCTCCAGGCCATATCGGACAACCAGATCCTGATAGTGATTCTTTGTAGCTGTTATTATATGTTTCATACTTATATAGTAACTCAAAATCTCCAGGCCATATCGGACAACCAGATCCTGATAGTGATTCTTTGTAGCTGTTATTATATGTTTCATACTTATATAGTAACTCAAAATCTCCAGGCCATATCGGACAACCAGATCCTGATAGTGATTCTTTGTAGCTGTCATTATATGTTTCATACTTATATAGTAACTCAAAATCTCCAGGCCATATCGGACAACCAGATCCTGATAGTGATTCTTTGTAGCTGTCATTATATGTTTCATACTTATATAGTAACTCAAAATCTCCAGGCCATATCGGACAACCAGATCCTGATAGTGATTCTTTGTAGCTGTTATTATATGTTTCATACTTATATAGTAACTCAAAATCTCCAGGCCATATCGGACAACCAGATCCTGATAGTGATTCTTTGTAGCTGTTATTATATGTTTCATACTTATATAGTAACTCAAAATCTCCAGGCCATATCGGACAACCAGATCCTGATAGTGATTCTTTGTAGCTGTTATTATATGTTTCATACTTATATAGTAACTCAAAATCTCCAGGCCATATCGGACAACCAGATCCTGATAGTGATTCTTTGTAGCTGTTATTATATGTTTCATACTTATATAGTAACTCAAAATCTCCAGGCCATATCGGACAACCAGATCCTGATAGTGATTCTTTGTAGCTGTTATTATATGTTTCATACTTATATAGTAACTCAAAATCTCCAGGCCATATCGGACAACCAGATCCTGATAGTGATTCTTTGTAGCTGTTATTATATGTTTCATACTTATATAGTAACTCAAAATCTCCAGGCCATATCGGACAACCAGATCCTGATAGTGATTCTTTGTAGCTGTTATTATATGTTTCATACTTATATAGTAACTCAAAATCTCCAGGCCATATCGGACAACCAGATCCTGATAGTGATTCTTTGTAGCTGTTATTATATGTTTCATACTTATATAGTAACTCAAAATCTCCAGGCCATATCGGACAACCAGATCCTGATAGTGATTCTTTGTAGCTGTTATTATATGTTTCATACTTATATAGTAACTCAAAATCTCCAGGCCATATCGGACAACCAGATCCTGATAGTGATTCTTTGTAGCTGTTATTATATGTTTCATACTTATATAGTAACTCAAAATCTCCAGGCCATATCGGACAACCAGATCCTGATAGTGATTCTTTGTAGCTGTTATTATATGTTTCATACTTATATAGTAACTCAAAATCTCCAGGCCATATCGGACAACCAGATCCTGATAGTGATTCTTTGTAGCTGTTATTATATGTTTCATACTTATATAGTAACTCAAAATCTCCAGGCCATATCGGACAACCAGATCCTGATAGTGATTCTTTGTAGCTGTCATTATATGTTTCATACTTATATAGTAACTCAAAATCTCCAGGCCATATCGGACAACCAGATCCTGATAGTGATTCTTTGTAGCTGTTATTATATGTTTCATACTTATATAGTAACTCAAAATCTCCAGGCCATATCGGACAACCAGATCCTGATAGTGATTCTTTGTAGCTGTTATTATATGTTTCATACTTATATAGTAACTCAAAATCTCCAGGCCATATCGGACAACCAGATCCTGATAGTGATTCTTTGTAGCTGTTATTATATGTTTCATACTTATATAGTAACTCAAAATCTCCAGGCCATATCGGACAACCAGATCCTGATAGTGATTCTTTGTAGCTGTTATTATATGTTTCATACTTATATAGTAACTCAAAATCTCCAGGCCATATCGGACAACCAGATCCTGATAGTGATTCTTTGTAGCTGTCATTATATGTTTCATACTTATATAGTAACTCAAAATCTCCAGGCCATATCGGACAACCAGATCCTGATAGTGATTCTTTGTAGCTGTCATTATATGTTTCATACTTATATAGTAACTCAAAATCTCCAGGCCATATCGGACAACCAGATCCTGATAGTGATTCTTTGTAGCTGTTATTATATGTTTCATACTTATATAGTAACTCAAAATCTCCAGGCCATATCGGACAACCAGATCCTGATAGTGATTCTTTGTAGCTGTTATTATATGTTTCATACTTATATAGTAACTCAAAATCTCCAGGCCATATCGGACAACCAGATCCTGATAGTGATTCTTTGTAGCTGTTATTATATGTTTCATACTTATATAGTAACTCAAAATCTCCAGGCCATATCGGACAACCAGATCCTGATAGTGATTCTTTGTAGCTGTTATTATATGTTTCATACTTATATAGTAACTCAAAATCTCCAGGCCATATCGGACAACCAGATCCTGATAGTGATTCTTTGTAGCTGTTATTATATGTTTCATACTTATATAGTAACTCAAAATCTCCAGGCCATATCGGACAACCAGATCCTGATAGTGATTCTTTGTAGCTGTTATTATATGTTTCATACTTATATAGTAACTCAAAATCTCCAGGCCATATCGGACAACCAGATCCTGATAGTGATTCTTTGTAGCTGTTATTATATGTTTCATACTTATATAGTAACTCAAAATCTCCAGGCCATATCGGACAACCAGATCCTGATAGTGATTCTTTGTAGCTGTTATTATATGTTTCATACTTATATAGTAACTCAAAATCTCCAGGCCATATCGGACAACCAGATCCTGATAGTGATTCTTTGTAGCTGTTATTATATGTTTCATACTTATATAGTAACTCAAAATCTCCAGGCCATATCGGACAACCAGATCCTGATAGTGATTCTTTGTAGCTGTTATTATATGTTTCATACTTATATAGTAACTCAAAATCTCCAGGCCATATCGGACAACCAGATCCTGATAGTGATTCTTTGTAGCTGTTATTATATGTTTCATACTTATATAGTAACTCAAAATCTCCAGGCCATATCGGACAACCAGATCCTGATAGTGATTCTTTGTAGCTGTTATTATATGTTTCATACTTATATAGTAACTCAAAATCTCCAGGCCATATCGGACAACCAGATCCTGATAGTGATTCTTTGTAGCTGTCATTATATGTTTCATACTTATATAGTAACTCAAAATCTCCAGGCCATATCGGACAACCAGATCCTGATAGTGATTCTTTGTAGCTGTCATTATATGTTTCATACTTATATAGTAACTCAAAATCTCCAGGCCATATCGGACAACCAGATCCTGATAGTGATTCTTTGTAGCTGTTATTATATGTTTCATACTTATATAGTAACTCAAAATCTCCAGGCCATATCGGACAACCAGATCCTGATAGTGATTCTTTGTAGCTGTTATTATATGTTTCATACTTATATAGTAACTCAAAATCTCCAGGCCATATCGGACAACCAGATCCTGATAGTGATTCTTTGTAGCTGTTATTATATGTTTCATACTTATATAGTAACTCAAAATCTCCAGGCCATATCGGACAACCAGATCCTGATAGTGATTCTTTGTAGCTGTTATTATATGTTTCATACTTATATAGTAACTCAAAATCTCCAGGCCATATCGGACAACCAGATCCTGATAGTGATTCTTTGTAGCTGTTATTATATGTTTCATACTTATATAGTAACTCAAAATCTCCAGGCCATATCGGACAACCAGATCCTGATAGTGATTCTTTGTAGCTGTTATTATATGTTTCATACTTATATAGTAACTCAAAATCTCCAGGCCATATCGGACAACCAGATCCTGATAGTGATTCTTTGTAGCTGTTATTATATGTTTCATACTTATATAGTAACTCAAAATCTCCAGGCCATATCGGACAACCAGATCCTGATAGTGATTCTTTGTAGCTGTTATTATATGTTTCATACTTATATAGTAACTCAAAATCTCCAGGCCATATCGGACAACCAGATCCTGATAGTGATTCTTTGTAGCTGTTATTATATGTTTCATACTTATATAGTAACTCAAAATCTCCAGGCCATATCGGACAACCAGATCCTGATAGTGATTCTTTGTAGCTGTTATTATATGTTTCATACTTATATAGTAACTCAAAATCTCCAGGCCATATCGGACAACCAGATCCTGATAGTGATTCTTTGTAGCTGTCATTATATGTTTCATACTTATATAGTAACTCAAAATCTCCAGGCCATATCGGACAACCAGATCCTGATAGTGATTCTTTGTAGCTGTCATTATATGTTTCATACTTATATAGTAACTCAAAATCTCCAGGCCATATCGGACAACCAGATCCTGATAGTGATTCTTTGTAGCTGTCATTATATGTTTCATACTTATATAGTAACTCAAAATCTCCAGGCCATATCGGACAACCAGATCCTGATAGTGATTCTTTGTAGCTGTTATTATATGTTTCATACTTATATAGTAACTCAAAATCTCCAGGCCATATCGGACAACCAGATCCTGATAGTGATTCTTTGTAGCTGTTATTATATGTTTCATACTTATATAGTAACTCAAAATCTCCAGGCCATATCGGACAACCAGATCCTGATAGTGATTCTTTGTAGCTGTTATTATATGTTTCATACTTATATAGTAACTCAAAATCTCCAGGCCATATCGGACAACCAGATCCTGATAGTGATTCTTTGTAGCTGTTATTATATGTTTCATACTTATATAGTAACTCAAAATCTCCAGGCCATATCGGACAACCAGATCCTGATAGTGATTCTTTGTAGCTGTTATTATATGTTTCATACTTATATAGTAACTCAAAATCTCCAGGCCATATCGGACAACCAGATCCTGATAGTGATTCTTTGTAGCTGTTATTATATGTTTCATACTTATATAGTAACTCAAAATCTCCAGGCCATATCGGACAACCAGATCCTGATAGTGATTCTTTGTAGCTGTTATTATATGTTTCATACTTATATAGTAACTCAAAATCTCCAGGCCATATCGGACAACCAGATCCTGATAGTGATTCTTTGTAGCTGTTATTATATGTTTCATACTTATATAGTAACTCAAAATCTCCAGGCCATATCGGACAACCAGATCCTGATAGTGATTCTTTGTAGCTGTTATTATATGTTTCATACTTATATAGTAACTCAAAATCTCCAGGCCATATCGGACAACCAGATCCTGATAGTGATTCTTTGTAGCTGTTATTATATGTTTCATACTTATATAGTAACTCAAAATCTCCAGGCCATATCGGACAACCAGATCCTGATAGTGATTCTTTGTAGCTGTTATTATATGTTTCATACTTATATAGTAACTCAAAATCTCCAGGCCATATCGGACAACCAGATCCTGATAGTGATTCTTTGTAGCTGTCATTATATGTTTCATACTTATATAGTAACTCAAAATCTCCAGGCCATATCGGACAACCAGATCCTGATAGTGATTCTTTGTAGCTGTCATTATATGTTTCATACTTATATAGTAACTCAAAATCTCCAGGCCATATCGGACAACCAGATCCTGATAGTGATTCTTTGTAGCTGTTATTATATGTTTCATACTTATATAGTAACTCAAAATCTCCAGGCCATATCGGACAACCAGATCCTGATAGTGATTCTTTGTAGCTGTTATTATATGTTTCATACTTATATAGTAACTCAAAATCTCCAGGCCATATCGGACAACCAGATCCTGATAGTGATTCTTTGTAGCTGTTATTATATGTTTCATACTTATATAGTAACTCAAAATCTCCAGGCCATATCGGACAACCAGATCCTGATAGTGATTCTTTGTAGCTGTTATTATATGTTTCATACTTATATAGTAACTCAAAATCTCCAGGCCATATCGGACAACCAGATCCTGATAGTGATTCTTTGTAGCTGTTATTATATGTTTCATACTTATATAGTAACTCAAAATCTCCAGGCCATATCGGACAACCAGATCCTGATAGTGATTCTTTGTAGCTGTTATTATATGTTTCATACTTATATAGTAACTCAAAATCTCCAGGCCATATCGGACAACCAGATCCTGATAGTGATTCTTTGTAGCTGTTATTATATGTTTCATACTTATATAGTAACTCAAAATCTCCAGGCCATATCGGACAACCAGATCCTGATAGTGATTCTTTGTAGCTGTTATTATATGTTTCATACTTATATAGTAACTCAAAATCTCCAGGCCATATCGGACAACCAGATCCTGATAGTGATTCTTTGTAGCTGTTATTATATGTTTCATACTTATATAGTAACTCAAAATCTCCAGGCCATATCGGACAACCAGATCCTGATAGTGATTCTTTGTAGCTGTTATTATATGTTTCATACTTATATAGTAACTCAAAATCTCCAGGCCATATCGGACAACCAGATCCTGATAGTGATTCTTTGTAGCTGTTATTATATGTTTCATACTTATATAGTAACTCAAAATCTCCAGGCCATATCGGACAACCAGATCCTGATAGTGATTCTTTGTAGCTGTCATTATATGTTTCATACTTATATAGTAACTCAAAATCTCCAGGCCATATCGGACAACCAGATCCTGATAGTGATTCTTTGTAGCTGTCATTATATGTTTCATACTTATATAGTAACTCAAAATCTCCAGGCCATATCGGACAACCAGATCCTGATAGTGATTCTTTGTAGCTGTTATTATATGTTTCATACTTATATAGTAACTCAAAATCTCCAGGCCATATCGGACAACCAGATCCTGATAGTGATTCTTTGTAGCTGTTATTATATGTTTCATACTTATATAGTAACTCAAAATCTCCAGGCCATATCGGACAACCAGATCCTGATAGTGATTCTTTGTAGCTGTTATTATATGTTTCATACTTATATAGTAACTCAAAATCTCCAGGCCATATCGGACAACCAGATCCTGATAGTGATTCTTTGTAGCTGTTATTATATGTTTCATACTTATATAGTAACTCAAAATCTCCAGGCCATATCGGACAACCAGATCCTGATAGTGATTCTTTGTAGCTGTTATTATATGTTTCATACTTATATAGTAACTCAAAATCTCCAGGCCATATCGGACAACCAGATCCTGATAGTGATTCTTTGTAGCTGTTATTATATGTTTCATACTTATATAGTAACTCAAAATCTCCAGGCCATATCGGACAACCAGATCCTGATAGTGATTCTTTGTAGCTGTTATTATATGTTTCATACTTATATAGTAACTCAAAATCTCCAGGCCATATCGGACAACCAGATCCTGATAGTGATTCTTTGTAGCTGTTATTATATGTTTCATACTTATATAGTAACTCAAAATCTCCAGGCCATATCGGACAACCAGATCCTGATAGTGATTCTTTGTAGCTGTTATTATATGTTTCATACTTATATAGTAACTCAAAATCTCCAGGCCATATCGGACAACCAGATCCTGATAGTGATTCTTTGTAGCTGTTATTATATGTTTCATACTTATATAGTAACTCAAAATCTCCAGGCCATATCGGACAACCAGATCCTGATAGTGATTCTTTGTAGCTGTTATTATATGTTTCATACTTATATAGTAACTCAAAATCTCCAGGCCATATCGGACAACCAGATCCTGATAGTGATTCTTTGTAGCTGTTATTATATGTTTCATACTTATATAGTAACTCAAAATCTCCAGGCCATATCGGACAACCAGATCCTGATAGTGATTCTTTGTAGCTGTTATTATATGTTTCATACTTATATAGTAACTCAAAATCTCCAGGCCATATCGGACAACCAGATCCTGATAGTGATTCTTTGTAGCTGTCATTATATGTTTCATACTTATATAGTAACTCAAAATCTCCAGGCCATATCGGACAACCAGATCCTGATAGTGATTCTTTGTAGCTGTTATTATATGTTTCATACTTATATAGTAACTCAAAATCTCCAGGCCATATCGGACAACCAGATCCTGATAGTGATTCTTTGTAGCTGTTATTATATGTTTCATACTTATATAGTAACTCAAAATCTCCAGGCCATATCGGACAACCAGATCCTGATAGTGATTCTTTGTAGCTGTTATTATATGTTTCATACTTATATAGTAACTCAAAATCTCCAGGCCATATCGGACAACCAGATCCTGATAGTGATTCTTTGTAGCTGTTATTATATGTTTCATACTTATATAGTAACTCAAAATCTCCAGGCCATATCGGACAACCAGATCCTGATAGTGATTCTTTGTAGCTGTTATTATATGTTTCATACTTATATAGTAACTCAAAATCTCCAGGCCATATCGGACAACCAGATCCTGATAGTGATTCTTTGTAGCTGTTATTATATGTTTCATACTTATATAGTAACTCAAAATCTCCAGGCCATATCGGACAACCAGATCCTGATAGTGATTCTTTGTAGCTGTTATTATATGTTTCATACTTATATAGTAACTCAAAATCTCCAGGCCATATCGGACAACCAGATCCTGATAGTGATTCTTTGTAGCTGTTATTATATGTTTCATACTTATATAGTAACTCAAAATCTCCAGGCCATATCGGACAACCAGATCCTGATAGTGATTCTTTGTAGCTGTTATTATATGTTTCATACTTATATAGTAACTCAAAATCTCCAGGCCATATCGGACAACCAGATCCTGATAGTGATTCTTTGTAGCTGTCATTATATGTTTCATACTTATATAGTAACTCAAAATCTCCAGGCCATATCGGACAACCAGATCCTGATAGTGATTCTTTGTAGCTGTCATTATATGTTTCATACTTATATAGTAACTCAAAATCTCCAGGCCATATCGGACAACCAGATCCTGATAGTGATTCTTTGTAGCTGTTATTATATGTTTCATACTTATATAGTAACTCAAAATCTCCAGGCCATATCGGACAACCAGATCCTGATAGTGATTCTTTGTAGCTGTTATTATATGTTTCATACTTATATAGTAACTCAAAATCTCCAGGCCATATCGGACAACCAGATCCTGATAGTGATTCTTTGTAGCTGTTATTATATGTTTCATACTTATATAGTAACTCAAAATCTCCAGGCCATATCGGACAACCAGATCCTGATAGTGATTCTTTGTAGCTGTTATTATATGTTTCATACTTATATAGTAACTCAAAATCTCCAGGCCATATCGGACAACCAGATCCTGATAGTGATTCTTTGTAGCTGTTATTATATGTTTCATACTTATATAGTAACTCAAAATCTCCAGGCCATATCGGACAACCAGATCCTGATAGTGATTCTTTGTAGCTGTTATTATATGTTTCATACTTATATAGTAACTCAAAATCTCCAGGCCATATCGGACAACCAGATCCTGATAGTGATTCTTTGTAGCTGTTATTATATGTTTCATACTTATATAGTAACTCAAAATCTCCAGGCCATATCGGACAACCAGATCCTGATAGTGATTCTTTGTAGCTGTTATTATATGTTTCATACTTATATAGTAACTCAAAATCTCCAGGCCATATCGGACAACCAGATCCTGATAGTGATTCTTTGTAGCTGTTATTATATGTTTCATACTTATATAGTAACTCAAAATCTCCAGGCCATATCGGACAACCAGATCCTGATAGTGATTCTTTGTAGCTGTTATTATATGTTTCATACTTATATAGTAACTCAAAATCTCCAGGCCATATCGGACAACCAGATCCTGATAGTGATTCTTTGTAGCTGTTATTATATGTTTCATACTTATATAGTAACTCAAAATCTCCAGGCCATATCGGACAACCAGATCCTGATAGTGATTCTTTGTAGCTGTTATTATATGTTTCATACTTATATAGTAACTCAAAATCTCCAGGCCATATCGGACAACCAGATCCTGATAGTGATTCTTTGTAGCTGTTATTATATGTTTCATACTTATATAGTAACTCAAAATCTCCAGGCCATATCGGACAACCAGATCCTGATAGTGATTCTTTGTAGCTGTTATTATATGTTTCATACTTATATAGTAACTCAAAATCTCCAGGCCATATCGGACAACCAGATCCTGATAGTGATTCTTTGTAGCTGTTATTATATGTTTCATACTTATATAGTAACTCAAAATCTCCAGGCCATATCGGACAACCAGATCCTGATAGTGATTCTTTGTAGCTGTTATTATATGTTTCATACTTATATAGTAACTCAAAATCTCCAGGCCATATCGGACAACCAGATCCTGATAGTGATTCTTTTGTAGCTGTCATTATATGTTTCATACTTATATAGTAACTCAAAATCTCCAGGCCATATCGGACAACCAGATCCTGATAGTGATTCTTTGTAGCTGTCATTATATGTTTCATACTTATATAGTAACTCAAAATCTCCAGGCCATATCGGACAACCAGATCCTGATAGTGATTCTTTGTAGCTGTTATTATATGTTTCATACTTATATAGTAACTCAAAATCTCCAGGCCATATCGGACAACCAGATCCTGATAGTGATTCTTTGTAGCTGTTATTATATGTTTCATACTTATATAGTAACTCAAAATCTCCAGGCCATATCGGACAACCAGATCCTGATAGTGATTCTTTGTAGCTGTTATTATATGTTTCATACTTATATAGTAACTCAAAATCTCCAGGCCATATCGGACAACCAGATCCTGATAGTGATTCTTTGTAGCTGTTATTATATGTTTCATACTTATATAGTAACTCAAAATCTCCAGGCCATATCGGACAACCAGATCCTGATAGTGATTCTTTGTAGCTGTTATTATATGTTTCATACTTATATAGTAACTCAAAATCTCCAGGCCATATCGGACAACCAGATCCTGATAGTGATTCTTTGTAGCTGTTATTATATGTTTCATACTTATATAGTAACTCAAAATCTCCAGGCCATATCGGACAACCAGATCCTGATAGTGATTCTTTGTAGCTGTTATTATATGTTTCATACTTATATAGTAACTCAAAATCTCCAGGCCATATCGGACAACCAGATCCTGATAGTGATTCTTTGTAGCTGTTATTATATGTTTCATACTTATATAGTAACTCAAAATCTCCAGGCCATATCGGACAACCAGATCCTGATAGTGATTCTTTGTAGCTGTTATTATATGTTTCATACTTATATAGTAACTCAAAATCTCCAGGCCATATCGGACAACCAGATCCTGATAGTGATTCTTTGTAGCTGTTATTATATGTTTCATACTTATATAGTAACTCAAAATCTCCAGGCCATATCGGACAACCAGATCCTGATAGTGATTCTTTGTAGCTGTTATTATATGTTTCATACTTATATAGTAACTCAAAATCTCCAGGCCATATCGGACAACCAGATCCTGATAGTGATTCTTTGTAGCTGTCATTATATGTTTCATACTTATATAGTAACTCAAAATCTCCAGGCCATATCGGACAACCAGATCCTGATAGTGATTCTTTGTAGCTGTCATTATATGTTTCATACTTATATAGTAACTCAAAATCTCCAGGCCATATCGGACAACCAGATCCTGATAGTGATTCTTTGTAGCTGTCATTATATGTTTCATACTTATATAGTAACTCAAAATCTCCAGGCCATATCGGACAACCAGATCCTGATAGTGATTCTTTGTAGCTGTTATTATATGTTTCATACTTATATAGTAACTCAAAATCTCCAGGCCATATCGGACAACCAGATCCTGATAGTGATTCTTTGTAGCTGTTATTATATGTTTCATACTTATATAGTAACTCAAAATCTCCAGGCCATATCGGACAACCAGATCCTGATAGTGATTCTTTGTAGCTGTTATTATATGTTTCATACTTATATAGTAACTCAAAATCTCCAGGCCATATCGGACAACCAGATCCTGATAGTGATTCTTTGTAGCTGTTATTATATGTTTCATACTTATATAGTAACTCAAAATCTCCAGGCCATATCGGACAACCAGATCCTGATAGTGATTCTTTGTAGCTGTTATTATATGTTTCATACTTATATAGTAACTCAAAATCTCCAGGCCATATCGGACAACCAGATCCTGATAGTGATTCTTTGTAGCTGTCATTATATGTTTCATACTTATATAGTAACTCAAAATCTCCAGGCCATATCGGACAACCAGATCCTGATAGTGATTCTTTGTAGCTGTTATTATATGTTTCATACTTATATAGTAACTCAAAATCTCCAGGCCATATCGGACAACCAGATCCTGATAGTGATTCTTTGTAGCTGTTATTATATGTTTCATACTTATATAGTAACTCAAAATCTCCAGGCCATATCGGACAACCAGATCCTGATAGTGATTCTTTGTAGCTGTTATTATATGTTTCATACTTATATAGTAACTCAAAATCTCCAGGCCATATCGGACAACCAGATCCTGATAGTGATTCTTTGTAGCTGTTATTATATGTTTCATACTTATATAGTAACTCAAAATCTCCAGGCCATATCGGACAACCAGATCCTGATAGTGATTCTTTGTAGCTGTTATTATATGTTTCATACTTATATAGTAACTCAAAATCTCCAGGCCATATCGGACAACCAGATCCTGATAGTGATTCTTTGTAGCTGTTATTATATGTTTCATACTTATATAGTAACTCAAAATCTCCAGGCCATATCGGACAACCAGATCCTGATAGTGATTCTTTGTAGCTGTCATTATATGTTTCATACTTATATAGTAACTCAAAATCTCCAGGCCATATCGGACAACCAGATCCTGATAGTGATTCTTTGTAGCTGTCATTATATGTTTCATACTTATATAGTAACTCAAAATCTCCAGGCCATATCGGACAACCAGATCCTGATAGTGATTCTTTGTAGCTGTCATTATATGTTTCATACTTATATAGTAACTCAAAATCTCCAGGCCATATCGGACAACCAGATCCTGATAGTGATTCTTTGTAGCTGTCATTATATGTTTCATACTTATATAGTAACTCAAAATCTCCAGGCCATATCGGACAACCAGATCCTGATAGTGATTCTTTGTAGCTGTTATTATATGTTTCATACTTATATAGTAACTCAAAATCTCCAGGCCATATCGGACAACCAGATCCTGATAGTGATTCTTTGTAGCTGTTATTATATGTTTCATACTTATATAGTAACTCAAAATCTCCAGGCCATATCGGACAACCAGATCCTGATAGTGATTCTTTGTAGCTGTTATTATATGTTTCATACTTATATAGTAACTCAAAATCTCCAGGCCATATCGGACAACCAGATCCTGATAGTGATTCTTTGTAGCTGTTATTATATGTTTCATACTTATATAGTAACTCAAAATCTCCAGGCCATATCGGACAACCAGATCCTGATAGTGATTCTTTGTAGCTGTTATTATATGTTTCATACTTATATAGTAACTCAAAATCTCCAGGCCATATCGGACAACCAGATCCTGATAGTGATTCTTTGTAGCTGTTATTATATGTTTCATACTTATATAGTAACTCAAAATCTCCAGGCCATATCGGACAACCAGATCCTGATAGTGATTCTTTGTAGCTGTTATTATATGTTTCATACTTATATAGTAACTCAAAATCTCCAGGCCATATCGGACAACCAGATCCTGATAGTGATTCTTTGTAGCTGTTATTATATGTTTCATACTTATATAGTAACTCAAAATCTCCAGGCCATATCGGACAACCAGATCCTGATAGTGATTCTTTGTAGCTGTTATTATATGTTTCATACTTATATAGTAACTCAAAATCTCCAGGCCATATCGGACAACCAGATCCTGATAGTGATTCTTTGTAGCTGTTATTATATGTTTCATACTTATATAGTAACTCAAAATCTCCAGGCCATATCGGACAACCAGATCCTGATAGTGATTCTTTGTAGCTGTTATTATATGTTTCATACTTATATAGTAACTCAAAATCTCCAGGCCATATCGGACAACCAGATCCTGATAGTGATTCTTTGTAGCTGTCATTATATGTTTCATACTTATATAGTAACTCAAAATCTCCAGGCCATATCGGACAACCAGATCCTGATAGTGATTCTTTGTAGCTGTCATTATATGTTTCATACTTATATAGTAACTCAAAATCTCCAGGCCATATCGGACAACCAGATCCTGATAGTGATTCTTTGTAGCTGTTATTATATGTTTCATACTTATATAGTAACTCAAAATCTCCAGGCCATATCGGACAACCAGATCCTGATAGTGATTCTTTGTAGCTGTTATTATATGTTTCATACTTATATAGTAACTCAAAATCTCCAGGCCATATCGGACAACCAGATCCTGATAGTGATTCTTTGTAGCTGTTATTATATGTTTCATACTTATATAGTAACTCAAAATCTCCAGGCCATATCGGACAACCAGATCCTGATAGTGATTCTTTGTAGCTGTTATTATATGTTTCATACTTATATAGTAACTCAAAATCTCCAGGCCATATCGGACAACCAGATCCTGATAGTGATTCTTTGTAGCTGTTATTATATGTTTCATACTTATATAGTAACTCAAAATCTCCAGGCCATATCGGACAACCAGATCCTGATAGTGATTCTTTGTAGCTGTTATTATATGTTTCATACTTATATAGTAACTCAAAATCTCCAGGCCATATCGGACAACCAGATCCTGATAGTGATTCTTTGTAGCTGTTATTATATGTTTCATACTTATATAGTAACTCAAAATCTCCAGGCCATATCGGACAACCAGATCCTGATAGTGATTCTTTGTAGCTGTTATTATATGTTTCATACTTATATAGTAACTCAAAATCTCCAGGCCATATCGGACAACCAGATCCTGATAGTGATTCTTTGTAGCTGTTATTATATGTTTCATACTTATATAGTAACTCAAAATCTCCAGGCCATATCGGACAACCAGATCCTGATAGTGATTCTTTGTAGCTGTTATTATATGTTTCATACTTATATAGTAACTCAAAATCTCCAGGCCATATCGGACAACCAGATCCTGATAGTGATTCTTTGTAGCTGTTATTATATGTTTCATACTTATATAGTAACTCAAAATCTCCAGGCCATATCGGACAACCAGATCCTGATAGTGATTCTTTGTAGCTGTCATTATATGTTTCATACTTATATAGTAACTCAAAATCTCCAGGCCATATCGGACAACCAGATCCTGATAGTGATTCTTTGTAGCTGTCATTATATGTTTCATACTTATATAGTAACTCAAAATCTCCAGGCCATATCGGACAACCAGATCCTGATAGTGATTCTTTGTAGCTGTCATTATATGTTTCATACTTATATAGTAACTCAAAATCTCCAGGCCATATCGGACAACCAGATCCTGATAGTGATTCTTTGTAGCTGTTATTATATGTTTCATACTTATATAGTAACTCAAAATCTCCAGGCCATATCGGACAACCAGATCCTGATAGTGATTCTTTGTAGCTGTTATTATATGTTTCATACTTATATAGTAACTCAAAATCTCCAGGCCATATCGGACAACCAGATCCTGATAGTGATTCTTTGTAGCTGTTATTATATGTTTCATACTTATATAGTAACTCAAAATCTCCAGGCCATATCGGACAACCAGATCCTGATAGTGATTCTTTGTAGCTGTTATTATATGTTTCATACTTATATAGTAACTCAAAATCTCCAGGCCATATCGGACAACCAGATCCTGATAGTGATTCTTTGTAGCTGTTATTATATGTTTCATACTTATATAGTAACTCAAAATCTCCAGGCCATATCGGACAACCAGATCCTGATAGTGATTCTTTGTAGCTGTTATTATATGTTTCATACTTATATAGTAACTCAAAATCTCCAGGCCATATCGGACAACCAGATCCTGATAGTGATTCTTTGTAGCTGTTATTATATGTTTCATACTTATATAGTAACTCAAAATCTCCAGGCCATATCGGACAACCAGATCCTGATAGTGATTCTTTGTAGCTGTTATTATATGTTTCATACTTATATAGTAACTCAAAATCTCCAGGCCATATCGGACAACCAGATCCTGATAGTGATTCTTTGTAGCTGTTATTATATGTTTCATACTTATATAGTAACTCAAAATCTCCAGGCCATATCGGACAACCAGATCCTGATAGTGATTCTTTGTAGCTGTTATTATATGTTTCATACTTATATAGTAACTCAAAATCTCCAGGCCATATCGGACAACCAGATCCTGATAGTGATTCTTTGTAGCTGTTATTATATGTTTCATACTTATATAGTAACTCAAAATCTCCAGGCCATATCGGACAACCAGATCCTGATAGTGATTCTTTGTAGCTGTTATTATATGTTTCATACTTATATAGTAACTCAAAATCTCCAGGCCATATCGGACAACCAGATCCTGATAGTGATTCTTTGTAGCTGTCATTATATGTTTCATACTTATATAGTAACTCAAAATCTCCAGGCCATATCGGACAACCAGATCCTGATAGTGATTCTTTGTAGCTGTCATTATATGTTTCATACTTATATAGTAACTCAAAATCTCCAGGCCATATCGGACAACCAGATCCTGATAGTGATTCTTTGTAGCTGTCATTATATGTTTCATACTTATATAGTAACTCAAAATCTCCAGGCCATATCGGACAACCAGATCCTGATAGTGATTCTTTGTAGCTGTTATTATATGTTTCATACTTATATAGTAACTCAAAATCTCCAGGCCATATCGGACAACCAGATCCTGATAGTGATTCTTTGTAGCTGTTATTATATGTTTCATACTTATATAGTAACTCAAAATCTCCAGGCCATATCGGACAACCAGATCCTGATAGTGATTCTTTGTAGCTGTTATTATATGTTTCATACTTATATAGTAACTCAAAATCTCCAGGCCATATCGGACAACCAGATCCTGATAGTGATTCTTTGTAGCTGTTATTATATGTTTCATACTTATATAGTAACTCAAAATCTCCAGGCCATATCGGACAACCAGATCCTGATAGTGATTCTTTGTAGCTGTTATTATATGTTTCATACTTATATAGTAACTCAAAATCTCCAGGCCATATCGGACAACCAGATCCTGATAGTGATTCTTTGTAGCTGTTATTATATGTTTCATACTTATATAGTAACTCAAAATCTCCAGGCCATATCGGACAACCAGATCCTGATAGTGATTCTTTGTAGCTGTTATTATATGTTTCATACTTATATAGTAACTCAAAATCTCCAGGCCATATCGGACAACCAGATCCTGATAGTGATTCTTTGTAGCTGTTATTATATGTTTCATACTTATATAGTAACTCAAAATCTCCAGGCCATATCGGACAACCAGATCCTGATAGTGATTCTTTGTAGCTGTTATTATATGTTTCATACTTATATAGTAACTCAAAATCTCCAGGCCATATCGGACAACCAGATCCTGATAGTGATTCTTTGTAGCTGTTATTATATGTTTCATACTTATATAGTAACTCAAAATCTCCAGGCCATATCGGACAACCAGATCCTGATAGTGATTCTTTGTAGCTGTTATTATATGTTTCATACTTATATAGTAACTCAAAATCTCCAGGCCATATCGGACAACCAGATCCTGATAGTGATTCTTTGTAGCTGTTATTATATGTTTCATACTTATATAGTAACTCAAAATCTCCAGGCCATATCGGACAACCAGATCCTGATAGTGATTCTTTGTAGCTGTCATTATATGTTTCATACTTATATAGTAACTCAAAATCTCCAGGCCATATCGGACAACCAGATCCTGATAGTGATTCTTTGTAGCTGTCATTATATGTTTCATACTTATATAGTAACTCAAAATCTCCAGGCCATATCGGACAACCAGATCCTGATAGTGATTCTTTGTAGCTGTCATTATATGTTTCATACTTATATAGTAACTCAAAATCTCCAGGCCATATCGGACAACCAGATCCTGATAGTGATTCTTTGTAGCTGTTATTATATGTTTCATACTTATATAGTAACTCAAAATCTCCAGGCCATATCGGACAACCAGATCCTGATAGTGATTCTTTGTAGCTGTTATTATATGTTTCATACTTATATAGTAACTCAAAATCTCCAGGCCATATCGGACAACCAGATCCTGATAGTGATTCTTTGTAGCTGTTATTATATGTTTCATACTTATATAGTAACTCAAAATCTCCAGGCCATATCGGACAACCAGATCCTGATAGTGATTCTTTGTAGCTGTTATTATATGTTTCATACTTATATAGTAACTCAAAATCTCCAGGCCATATCGGACAACCAGATCCTGATAGTGATTCTTTGTAGCTGTTATTATATGTTTCATACTTATATAGTAACTCAAAATCTCCAGGCCATATCGGACAACCAGATCCTGATAGTGATTCTTTGTAGCTGTTATTATATGTTTCATACTTATATAGTAACTCAAAATCTCCAGGCCATATCGGACAACCAGATCCTGATAGTGATTCTTTGTAGCTGTTATTATATGTTTCATACTTATATAGTAACTCAAAATCTCCAGGCCATATCGGACAACCAGATCCTGATAGTGATTCTTTGTAGCTGTTATTATATGTTTCATACTTATATAGTAACTCAAAATCTCCAGGCCATATCGGACAACCAGATCCTGATAGTGATTCTTTGTAGCTGTTATTATATGTTTCATACTTATATAGTAACTCAAAATCTCCAGGCCATATCGGACAACCAGATCCTGATAGTGATTCTTTGTAGCTGTTATTATATGTTTCATACTTATATAGTAACTCAAAATCTCCAGGCCATATCGGACAACCAGATCCTGATAGTGATTCTTTGTAGCTGTTATTATATGTTTCATACTTATATAGTAACTCAAAATCTCCAGGCCATATCGGACAACCAGATCCTGATAGTGATTCTTTGTAGCTGTTATTATATGTTTCATACTTATATAGTAACTCAAAATCTCCAGGCCATATCGGACAACCAGATCCTGATAGTGATTCTTTGTAGCTGTCATTATATGTTTCATACTTATATAGTAACTCAAAATCTCCAGGCCATATCGGACAACCAGATCCTGATAGTGATTCTTTGTAGCTGTCATTATATGTTTCATACTTATATAGTAACTCAAAATCTCCAGGCCATATCGGACAACCAGATCCTGATAGTGATTCTTTGTAGCTGTCATTATATGTTTCATACTTATATAGTAACTCAAAATCTCCAGGCCATATCGGACAACCAGATCCTGATAGTGATTCTTTGTAGCTGTTATTATATGTTTCATACTTATATAGTAACTCAAAATCTCCAGGCCATATCGGACAACCAGATCCTGATAGTGATTCTTTGTAGCTGTTATTATATGTTTCATACTTATATAGTAACTCAAAATCTCCAGGCCATATCGGACAACCAGATCCTGATAGTGATTCTTTGTAGCTGTTATTATATGTTTCATACTTATATAGTAACTCAAAATCTCCAGGCCATATCGGACAACCAGATCCTGATAGTGATTCTTTGTAGCTGTTATTATATGTTTCATACTTATATAGTAACTCAAAATCTCCAGGCCATATCGGACAACCAGATCCTGATAGTGATTCTTTGTAGCTGTTATTATATGTTTCATACTTATATAGTAACTCAAAATCTCCAGGCCATATCGGACAACCAGATCCTGATAGTGATTCTTTGTAGCTGTTATTATATGTTTCATACTTATATAGTAACTCAAAATCTCCAGGCCATATCGGACAACCAGATCCTGATAGTGATTCTTTGTAGCTGTTATTATATGTTTCATACTTATATAGTAACTCAAAATCTCCAGGCCATATCGGACAACCAGATCCTGATAGTGATTCTTTGTAGCTGTTATTATATGTTTCATACTTATATAGTAACTCAAAATCTCCAGGCCATATCGGACAACCAGATCCTGATAGTGATTCTTTGTAGCTGTTATTATATGTTTCATACTTATATAGTAACTCAAAATCTCCAGGCCATATCGGACAACCAGATCCTGATAGTGATTCTTTGTAGCTGTTATTATATGTTTCATACTTATATAGTAACTCAAAATCTCCAGGCCATATCGGACAACCAGATCCTGATAGTGATTCTTTGTAGCTGTTATTATATGTTTCATACTTATATAGTAACTCAAAATCTCCAGGCCATATCGGACAACCAGATCCTGATAGTGATTCTTTGTAGCTGTTATTATATGTTTCATACTTATATAGTAACTCAAAATCTCCAGGCCATATCGGACAACCAGATCCTGATAGTGATTCTTTGTAGCTGTTATTATATGTTTCATACTTATATAGTAACTCAAAATCTCCAGGCCATATCGGACAACCAGATCCTGATAGTGATTCTTTGTAGCTGTTATTATATGTTTCATACTTATATAGTAACTCAAAATCTCCAGGCCATATCGGACAACCAGATCCTGATAGTGATTCTTTGTAGCTGTTATTATATGTTTCATACTTATATAGTAACTCAAAATCTCCAGGCCATATCGGACAACCAGATCCTGATAGTGATTCTTTGTAGCTGTTATTATATGTTTCATACTTATATAGTAACTCAAAATCTCCAGGCCATATCGGACAACCAGATCCTGATAGTGATTCTTTGTAGCTGTTATTATATGTTTCATACTTATATAGTAACTCAAAATCTCCAGGCCATATCGGACAACCAGATCCTGATAGTGATTCTTTGTAGCTGTTATTATATGTTTCATACTTATATAGTAACTCAAAATCTCCAGGCCATATCGGACAACCAGATCCTGATAGTGATTCTTTGTAGCTGTTATTATATGTTTCATACTTATATAGTAACTCAAAATCTCCAGGCCATATCGGACAACCAGATCCTGATAGTGATTCTTTGTAGCTGTTATTATATGTTTCATACTTATATAGTAACTCAAAATCTCCAGGCCATATCGGACAACCAGATCCTGATAGTGATTCTTTGTAGCTGTTATTATATGTTTCATACTTATATAGTAACTCAAAATCTCCAGGCCATATCGGACAACCAGATCCTGATAGTGATTCTTTGTAGCTGTTATTATATGTTTCATACTTATATAGTAACTCAAAATCTCCAGGCCATATCGGACAACCAGATCCTGATAGTGATTCTTTGTAGCTGTTATTATATGTTTCATACTTATATAGTAACTCAAAATCTCCAGGCCATATCGGACAACCAGATCCTGATAGTGATTCTTTGTAGCTGTTATTATATGTTTCATACTTATATAGTAACTCAAAATCTCCAGGCCATATCGGACAACCAGATCCTGATAGTGATTCTTTGTAGCTGTTATTATATGTTTCATACTTATATAGTAACTCAAAATCTCCAGGCCATATCGGACAACCAGATCCTGATAGTGATTCTTTGTAGCTGTTATTATATGTTTCATACTTATATAGTAACTCAAAATCTCCAGGCCATATCGGACAACCAGATCCTGATAGTGATTCTTTGTAGCTGTTATTATATGTTTCATACTTATATAGTAACTCAAAATCTCCAGGCCATATCGGACAACCAGATCCTGATAGTGATTCTTTGTAGCTGTTATTATATGTTTCATACTTATATAGTAACTCAAAATCTCCAGGCCATATCGGACAACCAGATCCTGATAGTGATTCTTTGTAGCTGTTATTATATGTTTCATACTTATATAGTAACTCAAAATCTCCAGGCCATATCGGACAACCAGATCCTGATAGTGATTCTTTGTAGCTGTTATTATATGTTTCATACTTATATAGTAACTCAAAATCTCCAGGCCATATCGGACAACCAGATCCTGATAGTGATTCTTTGTAGCTGTTATTATATGTTTCATACTTATATAGTAACTCAAAATCTCCAGGCCATATCGGACAACCAGATCCTGATAGTGATTCTTTGTAGCTGTTATTATATGTTTCATACTTATATAGTAACTCAAAATCTCCAGGCCATATCGGACAACCAGATCCTGATAGTGATTCTTTGTAGCTGTTATTATATGTTTCATACTTATATAGTAACTCAAAATCTCCAGGCCATATCGGACAACCAGATCCTGATAGTGATTCTTTGTAGCTGTTATTATATGTTTCATACTTATATAGTAACTCAAAATCTCCAGGCCATATCGGACAACCAGATCCTGATAGTGATTCTTTGTAGCTGTTATTATATGTTTCATACTTATATAGTAACTCAAAATCTCCAGGCCATATCGGACAACCAGATCCTGATAGTGATTCTTTGTAGCTGTTATTATATGTTTCATACTTATATAGTAACTCAAAATCTCCAGGCCATATCGGACAACCAGATCCTGATAGTGATTCTTTGTAGCTGTCATTATATGTTTCATACTTATATAGTAACTCAAAATCTCCAGGCCATATCGGACAACCAGATCCTGATAGTGATTCTTTGTAGCTGTCATTATATGTTTCATACTTATATAGTAACTCAAAATCTCCATGCCATATCGGACAACCAGATCCTGATAGTGATTCTTTGTAGCTGTCATTATATGTTTCATACTTATATAGTAACTCAAAATCTCCAGGCCATATCGGACAACCAGATCCTGATAGTGATTCTTTGTAGCTGTCATTATATGTTTCATACTTATATAGTAACTCAAAATCTCCAGGCCATATCGGACAACCAGATCCTGATAGTGATTCTTTGTAGCTGTCATTATATGTTTCATACTTATATAGTAACTCAAAATCTCCAGGCCATATCGGACAACCAGATCCTGATAGTGATTCTTTGTAGCTGTCATTATATGTTTCATACTTATATAGTAACTCAAAATCTCCAGGCCATATCGGACAACCAGATCCTGATAGTGATTCTTTGTAGCTGTCATTATATGTTTCATACTTATATAGTAACTCAAAATCTCCAGGCCATATCGGACAACCAGATCCTGATAGTGATTCTTTGTAGCTGTCATTATATGTTTCATACTTATATAGTAACTCAAAATCTCCAGGCCATATCGGACAACCAGATCCTGATAGTGATTCTTTGTAGCTGTCATTATATGTTTCATACTTATATAGTAACTCAAAATCTCCAGGCCATATCGGACAACCAGATCCTGATAGTGATTCTTTGTAGCTGTCATTATATGTTTCATACTTATATAGTAACTCAAAATCTCCAGGCCATATCGGACAACCAGATCCTGATAGTGATTCTTTGTAGCTGTCATTATATGTTTCATACTTATATAGTAACTCAAAATCTCCAGGCCATATCGGACAACCAGATCCTGATAGTGATTCTTTGTAGCTGTCATTATATGTTTCATACTTATATAGTAACTCAAAATCTCCAGGCCATATCGGACAACCAGATCCTGATAGTGATTCTTTGTAGCTGTCATTATATGTTTCATACTTATATAGTAACTCAAAATCTCCAGGCCATATCGGACAACCAGATCCTGATAGTGATTCTTTGTAGCTGTCATTATATGTTTCATACTTATATAGTAACTCAAAATCTCCAGGCCATATCGGACAACCAGATCCTGATAGTGATTCTTTGTAGCTGTTATTATATGTTTCATACTTATATAGTAACTCAAAATCTCCAGGCCATATCGGACAACCAGATCCTGATAGTGATTCTTTGTAGCTGTTATTATATGTTTCATACTTATATAGTAACTCAAAATCTCCAGGCCATATCGGACAACCAGATCCTGATAGTGATTCTTTGTAGCTGTTATTATATGTTTCATACTTATATAGTAACTCAAAATCTCCAGGCCATATCGGACAACCAGATCCTGATAGTGATTCTTTGTAGCTGTTATTATATGTTTCATACTTATATAGTAACTCAAAATCTCCAGGCCATATCGGACAACCAGATCCTGATAGTGATTCTTTGTAGCTGTTATTATATGTTTCATACTTATATAGTAACTCAAAATCTCCAGGCCATATCGGACAACCAGATCCTGATAGTGATTCTTTGTAGCTGTTATTATATGTTTCATACTTATATAGTAACTCAAAATCTCCAGGCCATATCGGACAACCAGATCCTGATAGTGATTCTTTGTAGCTGTTATTATATGTTTCATACTTATATAGTAACTCAAAATCTCCAGGCCATATCGGACAACCAGATCCTGATAGTGATTCTTTGTAGCTGTTATTATATGTTTCATACTTATATAGTAACTCAAAATCTCCAGGCCATATCGGACAACCAGATCCTGATAGTGATTCTTTGTAGCTGTTATTATATGTTTCATACTTATATAGTAACTCAAAATCTCCAGGCCATATCGGACAACCAGATCCTGATAGTGATTCTTTGTAGCTGTTATTATATGTTTCATACTTATATAGTAACTCAAAATCTCCAGGCCATATCGGACAACCAGATCCTGATAGTGATTCTTTGTAGCTGTTATTATATGTTTCATACTTATATAGTAACTCAAAATCTCCAGGCCATATCGGACAACCAGATCCTGATAGTGATTCTTTGTAGCTGTTATTATATGTTTCATACTTATATAGTAACTCAAAATCTCCAGGCCATATCGGACAACCAGATCCTGATAGTGATTCTTTGTAGCTGTTATTATATGTTTCATACTTATATAGTAACTCAAAATCTCCAGGCCATATCGGACAACCAGATCCTGATAGTGATTCTTTGTAGCTGTTATTATATGTTTCATACTTATATAGTAACTCAAAATCTCCAGGCCATATCGGACAACCAGATCCTGATAGTGATTCTTTGTAGCTGTTATTATATGTTTCATACTTATATAGTAACTCAAAATCTCCAGGCCATATCGGACAACCAGATCCTGATAGTGATTCTTTGTAGCTGTTATTATATGTTTCATACTTATATAGTAACTCAAAATCTCCAGGCCATATCGGACAACCAGATCCTGATAGTGATTCTTTGTAGCTGTCATTATATGTTTCATACTTATATAGTAACTCAAAATCTCCAGGCCATATCGGACAACCAGATCCTGATAGTGATTCTTTGTAGCTGTCATTATATGTTTCATACTTATATAGTAACTCAAAATCTCCAGGCCATATCGGACAACCAGATCCTGATAGTGATTCTTTGTAGCTGTCATTATATGTTTCATACTTATATAGTAACTCAAAATCTCCAGGCCATATCGGACAACCAGATCCTGATAGTGATTCTTTGTAGCTGTTATTATATGTTTCATACTTATATAGTAACTCAAAATCTCCAGGCCATATCGGACAACCAGATCCTGATAGTGATTCTTTGTAGCTGTTATTATATGTTTCATACTTATATAGTAACTCAAAATCTCCAGGCCATATCGGACAACCAGATCCTGATAGTGATTCTTTGTAGCTGTTATTATATGTTTCATACTTATATAGTAACTCAAAATCTCCAGGCCATATCGGACAACCAGATCCTGATAGTGATTCTTTGTAGCTGTTATTATATGTTTCATACTTATATAGTAACTCAAAATCTCCAGGCCATATCGGACAACCAGATCCTGATAGTGATTCTTTGTAGCTGTTATTATATGTTTCATACTTATATAGTAACTCAAAATCTCCAGGCCATATCGGACAACCAGATCCTGATAGTGATTCTTTGTAGCTGTTATTATATGTTTCATACTTATATAGTAACTCAAAATCTCCAGGCCATATCGGACAACCAGATCCTGATAGTGATTCTTTGTAGCTGTTATTATATGTTTCATACTTATATAGTAACTCAAAATCTCCAGGCCATATCGGACAACCAGATCCTGATAGTGATTCTTTGTAGCTGTTATTATATGTTTCATACTTATATAGTAACTCAAAATCTCCAGGCCATATCGGACAACCAGATCCTGATAGTGATTCTTTGTAGCTGTTATTATATGTTTCATACTTATATAGTAACTCAAAATCTCCAGGCCATATCGGACAACCAGATCCTGATAGTGATTCTTTGTAGCTGTTATTATATGTTTCATACTTATATAGTAACTCAAAATCTCCAGGCCATATCGGACAACCAGATCCTGATAGTGATTCTTTGTAGCTGTTATTATATGTTTCATACTTATATAGTAACTCAAAATCTCCAGGCCATATCGGACAACCAGATCCTGATAGTGATTCTTTGTAGCTGTTATTATATGTTTCATACTTATATAGTAACTCAAAATCTCCATGCCATATCGGACAACCAGATCCTGATAGTGATTCTTTGTAGCTGTTATTATATGTTTCATACTTATATAGTAACTCAAAATCTCCAGGCCATATCGGACAACCAGATCCTGATAGTGATTCTTTGTAGCTGTTATTATATGTTTCATACTTATATAGTAACTCAAAATCTCCAGGCCATATCGGACAACCAGATCCTGATAGTGATTCTTTGTAGCTGTCATTATATGTTTCATACTTATATAGTAACTCAAAATCTCCAGGCCATATCGGACAACCAGATCCTGATAGTGATTCTTTGTAGCTGTCATTATATGTTTCATACTTATATAGTAACTCAAAATCTCCATGCCATATCGGACAACCAGATCCTGATAGTGATTCTTTGTAGCTGTCATTATATGTTTCATACTTATATAGTAACTCAAAATCTCCAGGCCATATCGGACAACCAGATCCTGATAGTGATTCTTTGTAGCTGTCATTATATGTTTCATACTTATATAGTAACTCAAAATCTCCAGGCCATATCGGACAACCAGATCCTGATAGTGATTCTTTGTAGCTGTCATTATATGTTTCATACTTATATAGTAACTCAAAATCTCCAGGCCATATCGGACAACCAGATCCTGATAGTGATTCTTTGTAGCTGTCATTATATGTTTCATACTTATATAGTAACTCAAAATCTCCAGGCCATATCGGACAACCAGATCCTGATAGTGATTCTTTGTAGCTGTCATTATATGTTTCATACTTATATAGTAACTCAAAATCTCCAGGCCATATCGGACAACCAGATCCTGATAGTGATTCTTTGTAGCTGTTATTATATGTTTCATACTTATATAGTAACTCAAAATCTCCAGGCCATATCGGACAACCAGATCCTGATAGTGATTCTTTGTAGCTGTTATTATATGTTTCATACTTATATAGTAACTCAAAATCTCCAGGCCATATCGGACAACCAGATCCTGATAGTGATTCTTTGTAGCTGTTATTATATGTTTCATACTTATATAGTAACTCAAAATCTCCAGGCCATATCGGACAACCAGATCCTGATAGTGATTCTTTGTAGCTGTTATTATATGTTTCATACTTATATAGTAACTCAAAATCTCCAGGCCATATCGGACAACCAGATCCTGATAGTGATTCTTTGTAGCTGTTATTATATGTTTCATACTTATATAGTAACTCAAAATCTCCAGGCCATATCGGACAACCAGATCCTGATAGTGATTCTTTGTAGCTGTTATTATATGTTTCATACTTATATAGTAACTCAAAATCTCCAGGCCATATCGGACAACCAGATCCTGATAGTGATTCTTTGTAGCTGTTATTATATGTTTCATACTTATATAGTAACTCAAAATCTCCAGGCCATATCGGACAACCAGATCCTGATAGTGATTCTTTGTAGCTGTTATTATATGTTTCATACTTATATAGTAACTCAAAATCTCCAGGCCATATCGGACAACCAGATCCTGATAGTGATTCTTTGTAGCTGTTATTATATGTTTCATACTTATATAGTAACTCAAAATCTCCAGGCCATATCGGACAACCAGATCCTGATAGTGATTCTTTGTAGCTGTTATTATATGTTTCATACTTATATAGTAACTCAAAATCTCCAGGCCATATCGGACAACCAGATCCTGATAGTGATTCTTTGTAGCTGTTATTATATGTTTCATACTTATATAGTAACTCAAAATCTCCAGGCCATATCGGACAACCAGATCCTGATAGTGATTCTTTGTAGCTGTTATTATATGTTTCATACTTATATAGTAACTCAAAATCTCCAGGCCATATCGGACAACCAGATCCTGATAGTGATTCTTTGTAGCTGTTATTATATGTTTCATACTTATATAGTAACTCAAAATCTCCAGGCCATATCGGACAACCAGATCCTGATAGTGATTCTTTGTAGCTGTCATTATATGTTTCATACTTATATAGTAACTCAAAATCTCCAGGCCATATCGGACAACCAGATCCTGATAGTGATTCTTTGTAGCTGTCATTATATGTTTCATACTTATATAGTAACTCAAAATCTCCAGGCCATATCGGACAACCAGATCCTGATAGTGATTCTTTGTAGCTGTCATTATATGTTTCATACTTATATAGTAACTCAAAATCTCCAGGCCATATCGGACAACCAGATCCTGATAGTGATTCTTTGTAGCTGTCATTATATGTTTCATACTTATATAGTAACTCAAAATCTCCAGGCCATATCGGACAACCAGATCCTGATAGTGATTCTTTGTAGCTGTCATTATATGTTTCATACTTATATAGTAACTCAAAATCTCCAGGCCATATCGGACAACCAGATCCTGATAGTGATTCTTTGTAGCTGTCATTATATGTTTCATACTTATATAGTAACTCAAAATCTCCAGGCCATATCGGACAACCAGATCCTGATAGTGATTCTTTGTAGCTGTCATTATATGTTTCATACTTATATAGTAACTCAAAATCTCCAGGCCATATCGGACAACCAGATCCTGATAGTGATTCTTTGTAGCTGTCATTATATGTTTCATACTTATATAGTAACTCAAAATCTCCAGGCCATATCGGACAACCAGATCCTGATAGTGATTCTTTGTAGCTGTCATTATATGTTTCATACTTATATAGTAACTCAAAATCTCCAGGCCATATCGGACAACCAGATCCTGATAGTGATTCTTTGTAGCTGTTATTATATGTTTCATACTTATATAGTAACTCAAAATCTCCAGGCCATATCGGACAACCAGATCCTGATAGTGATTCTTTGTAGCTGTTATTATATGTTTCATACTTATATAGTAACTCAAAATCTCCAGGCCATATCGGACAACCAGATCCTGATAGTGATTCTTTGTAGCTGTTATTATATGTTTCATACTTATATAGTAACTCAAAATCTCCAGGCCATATCGGACAACCAGATCCTGATAGTGATTCTTTGTAGCTGTTATTATATGTTTCATACTTATATAGTAACTCAAAATCTCCAGGCCATATCGGACAACCAGATCCTGATAGTGATTCTTTGTAGCTGTTATTATATGTTTCATACTTATATAGTAACTCAAAATCTCCAGGCCATATCGGACAACCAGATCCTGATAGTGATTCTTTGTAGCTGTTATTATATGTTTCATACTTATATAGTAACTCAAAATCTCCAGGCCATATCGGACAACCAGATCCTGATAGTGATTCTTTGTAGCTGTTATTATATGTTTCATACTTATATAGTAACTCAAAATCTCCAGGCCATATCGGACAACCAGATCCTGATAGTGATTCTTTGTAGCTGTTATTATATGTTTCATACTTATATAGTAACTCAAAATCTCCAGGCCATATCGGACAACCAGATCCTGATAGTGATTCTTTGTAGCTGTTATTATATGTTTCATACTTATATAGTAACTCAAAATCTCCAGGCCATATCGGACAACCAGATCCTGATAGTGATTCTTTGTAGCTGTTATTATATGTTTCATACTTATATAGTAACTCAAAATCTCCAGGCCATATCGGACAACCAGATCCTGATAGTGATTCTTTGTAGCTGTTATTATATGTTTCATACTTATATAGTAACTCAAAATCTCCAGGCCATATCGGACAACCAGATCCTGATAGTGATTCTTTGTAGCTGTTATTATATGTTTCATACTTATATAGTAACTCAAAATCTCCAGGCCATATCGGACAACCAGATCCTGATAGTGATTCTTTGTAGCTGTTATTATATGTTTCATACTTATATAGTAACTCAAAATCTCCAGGCCATATCGGACAACCAGATCCTGATAGTGATTCTTTGTAGCTGTTATTATATGTTTCATACTTATATAGTAACTCAAAATCTCCAGGCCATATCGGACAACCAGATCCTGATAGTGATTCTTTGTAGCTGTTATTATATGTTTCATACTTATATAGTAACTCAAAATCTCCAGGCCATATCGGACAACCAGATCCTGATAGTGATTCTTTGTAGCTGTTATTATATGTTTCATACTTATATAGTAACTCAAAATCTCCAGGCCATATCGGACAACCAGATCCTGATAGTGATTCTTTGTAGCTGTTATTATATGTTTCATACTTATATAGTAACTCAAAATCTCCAGGCCATATCGGACAACCAGATCCTGATAGTGATTCTTTGTAGCTGTTATTATATGTTTCATACTTATATAGTAACTCAAAATCTCCAGGCCATATCGGACAACCAGATCCTGATAGTGACGGAGGCAATTCCTACGCCTCCAATAGCACCCCTGTGTTCCGGGCTGGGGTCGGCGTGGTAACCCGGCCCTATTGAAAGTCCGGCGTCGTCGGGGTGGTCCTAATTGCCGGGATCGCCCCCATGCTCTGAGGGAGTAAGTCCGGTCTTTGCCAGGACCGGCCAGTCGCTGGTGTGCCCTGTCGCTGACAGATCCGGGGTACACCGACATAGCGGCCGATGGCTTTCGCAGTGGTTTTAGTGAGTAGGGGCCTGCCCAGGCCGAGCCTCACACATCCCTTCCGGCCCCACCAAGGCCGGTTGGACGGCTCGTAAAAAGAGTTTCCACTACATCAACAAAAAAAAAAAAAAAAATCATTAAGCGAGGTCGAAATTTAAATAAATAACTACTTAACAAAGACTTGTTATTTACTGCTTCTTAAGCGTTACACAGTAACGCCTTTCTATTCCTGAAGTTGATTATGAAGAAGTTGCTGACAAAGACTAGTATATGTGTGTTATAGGAATATATAAATAGGATATCCTCTAAAAATATGTGTGTCTAATGTCTATCCTTAGACATGAATATGAGAGCGCTGAGAGCACTGAGTTGGAGGAATGGGTTGCGGAGCAGCAAGCAGCCGCCTCCAGTGAAGACTACGGACAGGACTATGAACACTTACTGGTGAGGAACGATATGTAGATGATGATGATGATGAGAGGGTGCTCCAGCCATCACACTTGGTGATGGAGACATTATTCAGTTATATCTTCAAATATTAAGCTTTGAAACTTCACGGAAATCCGTTCAGCAATCCTATTTTTAGAAACTAACGAATGAATGCTAAATTTCGTTGAAATTTAAGTCAATTTGAGCTTTTAGTACGTAATTTAGTGTTTTTTTTATTTCTTGTATCTCACAAGGATGTGCAAAGATTAGCATGTCATAATATTAAATATACCTAAAGTTTTACAGCTTCATTAAAATATCCTTAAAAACCATTTAATTATATCTATAATCTAAGACATCATATTTCCCCAACCACAGATCCTTAGGTCCAAGTTTGAAGAGCTCTGTCACCGTGTAGAGAGTGGGGCGGAGAGGTTCAACTAGTGTGAGGAGCTGGCCAAGAAGCTGGTCGCCTCAGACAGCCCCTACATCGCTGACATTGAAAAGAGACAGGAAGTGCTCGGGTGAGGGGAACTTGGAGAATGACCCTTAATAACATAGATATAGGATCTAATATAGATACTCAACATGTTCGAATCAAATTTATACCAAAGAATATTGAGACTTAATGACATGTATACAGGTATAGAATCTAAATAAGACATTCCACAAATGCAAATAAATTTGTACAAGTTAAAATAAGACTTAATAACTAGATATGGAATTTAATTTAGACAAAGAAAAATGAAACTTAATAACATACACATAAGATCTAATTCAAAAATTCCACATGTCATTTAAAACAAGGCAAAATGAATTTTAATAACATATTAATAAGATCTAATTTACATAATCCACAACTCAACTACAATTCATATATTCCAGCGAGTCCTGGCAGCGTCTGGTAGAACAGATCCAGTCCCGCAGCCAGCGCCTGCCAGACCTGCTGGCGCGGGCCGGGGAGCGCCGGGCACGCCTCGCCCCGCCCCCCGCGCCCCGCGACCTGCGCGCCGCCACCGCCCTCTTGAGGGACCACGACGCAGCCGAGAACGATATGGTCGCTATAGACGCGCAGACTTGAGAAAATTATGACTTTAAACATATTATGTATTTTAAATTAAAACTTCGACAATCATAATAAATGTATCACTAGGTAGTTTAACATATTCTTACAATAAATTAAACATGAAATTTAAAATATACACCCTCAAAGCAACAATAATTGTGTACAAAACAGGGATAAGAAATGCAAACTCATAGACACAGAGTAATATTAAGATTGACTTATAATGAAAACTAATATTTCTTGGATGAACGTTTTGATAAAAAAATACATATTTCCGACGTTTCGTTTACTTTACAGTATCATGATCACGGGCAGACGATATGATAAATATTAGTTTCATTTAAATGAATACTTGTCAAAATCTATTTCATAATATCATAGCTCCTCACTTAATGTAGCCTAATTCTGCCTAAATAAGATTTTAACTGATTTTCGCAGTATTTTATAGTTGTAGTAATATACATCCTGGCCCGGGCAAGTACCAATGTGATTTTTCCGAGTCATATGTACTTTCTAAGAATATTTAGACATCACTGATTAATGCATTCCCAAAGAGGGTTGATGTCAGGCAGGCGGCCGGTCGTAAAAACAATTAGCCAAAACTATTCACAACATGTAAGGTAGACCCTGGCTAAAGCTGGGAAGTTGCCAGGTAGAAGTGATAGTTGTAGTGATATTAAATCTATTTCCAGGTGCTCCAGGAGGAAGTAACTCCCAGCAGATAGCGCTGAGACAGCAGGCGCTTTGTGAGGCGTGGCGGTCACTGCGAGGTGCTGCAGACCTTAGGAGGAAACTGCTGCACCAATAACTGGAATTACAGACCTTCCTATCCGAGGTACTACTGTGGGATTTCACTATTATACAAAACCTTTATGATCTGATAGTGTTTTAATATATTGCTACATTTGATTAATCTATGTAATTTATATATATTTTCTTTATATACTAATTAATTATATATTAACGATTTTACGCCTATAAATAATGTATCCTTTATGATATTTTATTTCCATTAAGACATTATTATCACTTATATGAGAATTACACTTATAACAAAAACTTTTATGAATATACAGTTCGACATCGCACTTGTAACAAATATTAAATGAAATAACGTTTAATTAAGAGATATTTTTCTATATTAAGCACTAATTTAACGGTTGTCTTAGTTTTGATTATTTATTATTTAATATACAGGGTGACTGGTGAATTACTATCGATATTTGAGGACGTGAAATTTGACGATCATATATGACAAAATAAAAATTAATATAACATAAATATGTATTAATAAACTTCTAAGTAAAGTTAACCAAAAGTTATGTAATTAATTACGCGTCGTATGAACACCCTACAGATTAGGTATACACACACACACACACTCGCGTGCGGCGGCGTGTTGTTGTATCAGCACGCCGCCGCACGCGTTCACACTTGGAACACTTGGAACGTGTACACACTTTATTTATTTATACGGAAATTTGGTCTAAAATTAAGTACCTATTTTTTTTACATAATTCGAATGAGAATCATGTACCGAGTATGCTCCTTAAATATTGATAGTAATTCACCAGTCACCCTGTATAAGATATATCATGAATATCGTTCCCCAGCTCCGTGACGTCATCTCGTGGTCGTCATCCCCAGCTGCCGCACGCTCAGCAGCAGCGGCACTGGCCAGGGGGCAGAGGTTACTACACCCTGGAACAATATTATACTATGAAAAACATGTTAGCAATAGTATATGGGATTAAAAGTTATATTTTTTGTATTTAATAAGTGTTTATAGTAATTTTTTATAACTTAAATTTTTCAGTTAAAGTTTGACATTTTCTTTCAATACTAATGTATATTCGTTTTTTTGAATCATTCGAATATAACTTAAAGCATGGCTTAAGTGTTTTTCATAATGAATATAAAACAATTTTAAAAGAATGCTTTAATCACAATTCAAATAAAGATACCAAATATGTATGATATATCCGTTCTATGTATATTAACAAAAATGTGATGATAACTTTGTCTTAGCTAATTGGCTGTATTTTTGTCCAATAGAACTGCAAAACCTATTTTTATGAAATAGATTACGTTAGATATCACTATGTGTTTTTAGTGTGACTTCTGACCTCACGATATATTTGTATATTAATATTTGTATTAAGTATTCTCAGTCTTTGTTCAAAATAATTTTTGATGACAGTTTGATCAGTTAATAAAAATCATTTAATCTTAAGTATTGTTGTTTGTTGGTTCTGAAAGAAGAATTCTTTCGAAAATGTCTAACATATTCTAAAGATTTCTTGCCTTCCAAAGTTCGTTATTTGGTTTCGTTTCGTTACATCTGGGAAACACCTGAAAAGGGAATAAAATTTAAGAACAGTAAAAAATCTGGTAAATTAGGCAACTGCAATCAATTTCAAAGTTAAAGAAAAAGGAATTGTAAAGGTGGCTAAATAAAACTATGAACTATTTAAATCACTTTGATGATAAATTACAGACAACAGCTTTAATCGAACTTGTTTGAAATTTTATGACCTAGCAAATAATAGTCACACAGAATTAAAACATTATCAAATAAAAACTGTTTTTATGAATTAAATGTGAGAGTTCCGTCATTAAAGTCACTTTAGAGACGTCGTTGTGTAAACGATGTCACATTACTTTAAATATTTCACGAGTGACAAACAGATGTAAGCTATTTCATATCTCAACAACACTACACTGGAAGACCAATTAAAATTAATTTCCTCATACTCGTATACCTACTACTTAAGTGATATCAGAACTTCCAATGACACATTTCACGAAGGAAATATTTTAAATACAAACACATATTTAAACTGTGATTATTTATATTACGAGTATCTGTAAGTTTATAATATTTAAAAATATAAATTATTAATAATATCATATCATTTGATGAACAAAAATGTACCACGTAATAAATAAAATAAAGATTCTCGTCATCAAATATTTCATACGCCGCGTCGTTAGCTTGATAAATAAGCACCTTTTCCTTACAAAATATATTTTTAGGGTTAATTATACAGATAATATATAGGAATAACTTCAATAGTTCTAAATTGTTTTGTGACTTTACATAAGAATACATCTATCAAAAGATATCATTCTAATGCACTATTTAATATTTATTTTTAGTTATTAAACACGGTTCCCATATTTTTACCAATTTTTTTTTATAATTCCTACATAGTAATGATATTACAACCTCATAATGAAGTTGTCTGAGCTCCCTTTTTTTTTTTTTTTTTTTTTTGTGCGCACTGGGAAAAAAT